TTATTATTATTATTATTATTATTATTATTATTATTATTATTATTATTATTATTATTATTATTATTATTATTCTTTAAGGATGACTGAATGGATGAATTCATTATTTTAGGCTTCTGAACCAAGACTTTATATATTCTTGCAAGATTTCCTGTAGACACTACTGGGATTATAATAAGCCTAGTGATTAATAATTAAAATATTAATAATATTAAGCTGGGTTTCAATGGTCAAATATTCAGAATACTTTATACCTATATAAAAATAAAATAAAAAGAAGTGTTGGACTGAATGAAATTAATGAAAGGAGATCAGCAAATGAATTTCATACTGAATTTCAGAAGGACGTAAACTAAAGGAGATTGATCATAAAAGCATAATAAAAATAAAATAAGGTCAACATGGGAGTGGCACAGAGTAGAGATTGAAAAAGAAGTCACCCTGATTTAGCTTACCTAGTCCTGGTTAACTATCCACAAACTGTATTAATGTTAGAGTCAAAATAAGGGATAAATCATATTCTCTCTCTTGAATCTGGGATTACCTCATTATGTACAGTAGGTACTTTTATAACTGAAATGTTTATGATATTACAATATCACATACAATATTTAGAGAGCCAGTTTGGTATAGTAGTTAAGGTATCAGGCTAGAAACCAGCGCCTGTGAGTTCTAGTCACAAAAATAGTTGGGTCACTTTGGGCCAGTCACTCATTCTCAGCTCTAGGGAAGTGGTAATAGTAAACCGTTTGTGAAAAACCTTGCCAAGAAAACTGTAGGACAGGCAGTCTTCAAGAATAGGATACAAATTAACAGAAATAGCAATAGCACTTAAGATTTCACAGTGCTTTACAGCCCTTTTTTTTACAACCACTTGGTTTACAGAGTCAGCATATTGCCCCCAATAATCTGGTCCCCATTTTACCGACCTCAGAGAGATGGGAGGCTGAGTCAATCTTGAGCCAGTAAGTCTCGCAATCAGCAGAATTAGCCTGCAATACTGCATTCTAGCCATTGCACCACAAAACAAATACAATGTTTATCTTGAATTTTACATATAAGATTTATATTGTGCTGCTAATAGGGTAACTGTATGATATATTTAAACTTACTCAGTAATAGTAAAAAAGTCCATAAGTTCTGATGTTGAGGCCTTGTTCCAATATGTAAACAAAGCATCTACAAAGTATAAGAAAATAAAACTGTAATTAGAGAAATTATTTTTAGATTTAAGGAGCTAAAAAGAAGGTATAATTTTGTTACGTAATATGAATCCTTCGTTAAAAGTACTTACTAATCAATTTTGAATGCAGTATGTATGTACAATGTAGATACCTTTACTGAATAGTTAAGAACCAAGTTCAAACTCTTCTCCAGAAACAAGTTGAGTTTCTGTACTACTGAAGACTGAGCAGAATTTATTACTGATTGACCAAGACCACCGGTACTCGGGACAGTTTTAGACTTGAGGTTGACAATACTATGAAGTTAAATAAATCAGTTTCTGAGTACCGGTGATTTTGATCAATCAGTAATAAATTATCATTAAATTATACTGCCATAGACCGTATATTCATGGAGTAATGATCTTTATACTTTATATAGGAATATATATGTAAGTAGTGCTGGGAACTGTATGGAACATAACTATAATAGTGATGATGTTAATTTTGATCCTGAGAATAAATCCATGGGGGTTGTAGTCTGTGGATATCATGGATATCCTTGAATCTGATTACCCTCTCAGCAACACTGAGAACTCAAATAGAATAATGTAGAATAACCACTGATGCAAATTGCTGCTAAATGAATAGACTTGAACCATACTTTCAGACACACAGTAGATGTGCTAGTGGAACCTGACAAATGTCAGGAGAATTCCAGAATTTTGATATTTTAGTGCTGAGGAATTAGTCCCCCTGAATCTTCAAATTCTGCGTTGCAATTGATTTGGAAATAACTGGTACCAAAAATGAAGCTGAAACAATTCCAAAGAAATAAGTAACACATCAACACATTTACACGTGTGTGTGTGCGCACGCACGTGCGATATGAGACACTTAGCGCTCGCTTGAAATAATATGAGACACTTAGCGCTCGGCTTTGCAGAGTTATAAGGAGATCCTTTCTTGCCCCAAACAGCTAATACACAAAAGATTACTACAAATGTATTATGAAAAAACATGAGTTTTCTTTACCGTCTGTCATGCTTTTTAAAACATGGAGGAAGCACATCAGTAAACTCCTTATCTCAGCTTGATCAAGTTTATCACAACGAACAACAGAACTTCCTGAAATGCAAGCTTGCTGGTTCTGAAAAAAAAGGCATTTAAATATTAACATAAAAAAATAATGCAAGCATCCCAATCCCTCAAAAAGAAGATAATTCTAACACTCATATGAGAACAGTACAGATGATTACAAAATTCACCATACCAAAAAATTGGACAAAACTGAATTTTATTTTATTTCTATGTGTTTACATGTTTCCTATATCAAACTTCCTTAATGATATTTATAATGATATAAATATGTGATTGTATTTAATAATATGAGCACATTTTTCTGAGTCATTTTCCTACATTTGCAAGGCTGGAAGCATCCATCTATCATCCTTTGGATGCCTTTGGATGCTCTCCTATATAAAATTCTAGGTTTGTAATATTAACTTTGTATTTATTTTATTAATTCATTAAAACAATTTTTCTTTCTCCACAATCCCATAGAGCTGAGAAAGAGTGACAGGAAGAAAGTCACCTGATAAAGATGGACTTGAACCAGGACATCTCAATTCCTAATTCACCACGTTGATCACTGCCCTTCTAAAAAAAGTGCCTGCTTTAAAATAGTCAAGGATTTTTCTTCCCTACATTTTACAACAGAATAACAGAGTTGGAAGGGACCTTGGGGGTCTTCTAATCCAACCCCCTCCTCAAGCAGGAGACCCTATACCATTCCAGACAAGTGGCTGTCCAGTCTCTTCTTGAAAGCCTCCAGTGATGAAGCATCCACAACCTCTGAAGGCAAGTCATTCCATGGGTTAACTATTCCTACTGTTACTACATTTCTCCTTAGTTCTAGGTTGTTTCTCTCCTTAATTCATTTCCATCTATTGTCTTGCTTCTTGTCTTGCCTTCAGAAATTGCTTTGGAAAATAGGTTGACCCCTCTTCTTTGTGGCAGCCCTTCAAACACTGGAACACTGCTATCAAGTCATTCCTAGTCCTTGTTTTCAGTAGACTAGAGAAACCCAACTCCTGTAACCATCCATACGTTTTAGCCCTCAGCTGCCTGATCATCTTTGTTGCTATTTTCTGCAATCTTTTCAGAGTCTCTATATCTTTTTTTTATAACATGGTGACCAAAACTGGATGCAGTATTCCAAGTGTGGTCTTACTAGGGCTTTATAAAGCAATGCTAATACTTCACGTGATCTTGATTCTATCCTTCTGTTAATAGAATCAAGATCAACATATATTCAAAATATATTTGAATAGAAAAGTCTTCCCTCAATATAGCCTGGTCCCTTTCCGGCAAACATTTTTAATTCCTTCTATATCTGTTCTCTACACCATTGCCACACCTCTTTTTCTGTGCATCTGCTCTTGTTTTTCAGTATTTTTCTCTATCTCAAAGAATCAAGGCAAGCAAGGAGAGATATAGCTGATATAGCTAAGAGGATGAGTGCCAATCTGATCCAAAGACTAACAATTCCCTAATCATAATCCATAACTAAAATTTTATGTATTACATATGTAAGACAAACCGTGAGCTGTTAATGTTGAATTACATATTTCAGTTGCAAAACCAGAAATATACACACACAAAATACCAGTCAGTGCAAGGTGGAATTATACATTATAAACAAAGCACGGCAAATATGAAGAACAAAAAGAATCCATCATAATTATTCACAAACATAGTTAAGACGTAAGATTTACCTCAGTAGATAACTCAGAATATCTGACAGAGATGTTCACAACACAGTACTGAAAACTTGCATCATGCAAGGTTTGACAAAAGACAGTTTGACAAAATCCAGTTCAAACACATATATGCTTCAAATAATATATTTAGAACAAAGTTCTTTAATCCTTCATTTGTCTCTCCTCATGAATTTGAATTTATTTCAATTTGGATTATCTTTGTGATTATTTTTTTTACTCTATCATTGTTCTGATTTACTTATTTTTAATTATGTTTTGTTGATGTTTTATGCTCTCCAGAATGTTGAGTGGATTGGGGGAAATGATGGTTAAATAAATACATTCATTTTTCTTTTTATCTTGAGGATTAAATTATGCTTCTGTGGTAACCACAAAGTCTCATTCCTCTATGCTGTAACCACTTTCTACTATGTTTGGTGCTGGAAGAAAACTCTGTCCTCTATCTTGCACCAACTGGAGAAATTTAACTTAAATATATCAACAAATAAGTTAAAAAGAGGCTATAAGATCAATTAGTAAAGCTAACTACCACTCTGAAAACCTATTAAATAAAGAACATTTTAAAAGTTTGAAAATCTTAATACTACAGTCAATTGTTTCACATCAGAAATTAATCCATTAGCAAGAAGGGAATAGATTTAATGACAATTTTACAATGTGGTAGAAGCAGTTTTTAAAAGGTATTTAAAAATATAATTTTGTTTTATTTACATTTCCATATACATACACATATATGGTGTTGTTTATTGATTATTTGAGCTATTTTCTGTTAAAAATCTGCTTCAATGGTTCAGCAAAATTGTCAGGATTCACTGCACTCTTACAGTCAAACCAACCAATCACAAAAACAAAACACCCAAATTCTACTTGTAATGGAAGAGTTGCATGACAATTTCTTTCTGGTAAGGACAGAGCTGTCAGTACTGAAAAATCCACCGTGACCCGTTTTTGCTTGGATGATAAATAGCGTTCTTCTACTCCACTTTTATACACTGCAGATGAAGAATGTCTCCTGAGCAGTTTTTCCCTCTGCCACAAGGCAGGTCAAGGAGAAAATTGATTAAACCAATGTTTTCTTAGTGTACAAGAATTAAGTCCCAATGCCAAAAGTAAAATGCCAATTAAAGGATAACTGTATATTATTATGTCAACCAAGTTATGCTTAGGCAATCCATCTGTAATATTTAATGACTATATTTTGCCACTGAAGACTTAATAAACGTTTTATTAAAAAGGTAAAAACGCTATGTTGACACTTTCTAAAAACATATTATTCCTCTTGCAAGGTTTTTAGAATTAAGACAGAAATATGTCACACACACAAACTAAAGGAATTGGCTACAAAATATTGTAAATATCATATTTTTCCAACTGAAAATATACTTAAATTTGTGTAAGACTGTGTAACTATACCATACACAGTATCTTATTTATGACAGAAATGAAAGTTAGCCTTTCTCCTTGGCAGAAACTATTTAATTATTTCAATCTAATTGGCCACCCAGCTCAACTTAATTACTTTATTTATTAAATTTAGATACTGCCCATCTCACTCACAAGTGACTTCGGGCATCTAACAATGTTAAAAGAAAATGTAAAAAACAGAAGAGAAAAAAAACCAACATGCATAGAATCAGCAGCTGAGTTAACAACAGACCTATCAATCAGAAGTCAACATAACTAATGGGGTTTACATAACCAATTCGGAAGTCAGGACCATCACTTTTGACTTCCCAATTCAGTGACAAATCCTTGTCTGTACGAAAAGCAAACTGTCCTGACACTAGTAACAGAACAAAAAATGCTGTATATTTTGTTAATACGTACAAATGCATTAGAAGTTCATACCTTGTCTAGAGAATTGCTCTTTTCACCATGTTTTTCTGGGAGACTGTTTCCTGAGTCTGTACTTATAAGAGAGCCTCTTGAATCTGCATTCCTCGCATAATTAACATTAGGAGTAGAACAAGTGTATGGGGGTGCTGAATAATGAAATGTACACAAAAGGGATGTGTTACAGTCTCAACTGATAAAGAAAAGTATTCCACAAAAACAGAAATTTCAAAAATAATTTTCTTCACAGTGATGTACTTTCTATCAACTCCTGTACCCAGTCTAGCAATACCCACTATTATTGGAAGGCTTAACTTACTTTTACCTCATCCCACAAGATTTACTTGACTTAACATTTCCCTCAATTATGTACCAAGTCAGGGATAAACAGTTGGCCTGTGTATGATGAAATAGGGCTGAGGGAAGTATGAGGGTTAGGTGTATATTTAATACTAATGCTGAAAATGAGTAGCATGGCATTATCAATGGGAGAAACAGAACCTCCTAACAACACTGCTCCATTTTCAGTAATGGAAGTTATTGCTTCATATTTACTTTTAGAACTTGAAATCAAATAGTCATATGTCCCATTTTCTCCAGCCATATACTTGATTTTAACTTCATAATCAAGTGAAATTAGCCCTTAGAGAGTCAAATGTGGCCCTAGTCAAAAGCTTCACAGCAATATGCAAACTTGAGATGTCACCTCCCAACTTCAGTCATTATAATTATTGATTTAATTTCTCATAAGCATGTATGTTGCAAGTCACTAAAAGCTTTATTTAAAAGTTTCTGAATTCCATATATGGTTACCAATGCCTGAAATAGCACCAAACAAATCTTTCTGGAGGCTGCTGTCAAGGGCATTCACAGATTTTGGTGGAGTCATCAATGGATTTGCAGCTGGTAAATTAAGTGTTTCATCCTTTGCACCCTGTTAAAGAGATGCAAAATGTTTTTTTTTTCATCTGTTGATATGTTTAATTTTTATATTAAAGAGATATGTGCTCCCTGAGATTTATGATAGTTTTATTTAAAAAAAAAATGCTTACACTGCTAGCAGCATTGATAGGGAAGGGTGAAATATCCTTGACATCAATTCGATGAACGTTTTCGATCAGTAGACCAAATATTGGCAGATACAAGGTAGCTATCCTCGCTTGATGACTCTGTAAAAGAATATTTAAGTTCATTATTAAACCAAAGTAAAAGCACATTAAATGTCCATAAATATGTCCAGATGTCTTCCAGTTTTAAGTTGTTCATTTAGTTATAACCATCAGGGCTTTGACGTTTAACACTTGAGAATCTACATTAATGCAGTTACCAGAGAAGGATTTTAAATTAGATTCATGAATGTATTCTCTCTCTATATTCCTGGTTACCAGTAGCCAATCTGATTAAATGCTTTAAGAGGTCAACACATTTCCAATTCCTAACATCTGTGAAATTCAAGTAACTTGGAGTGCTGAAATGATAGCATTTTCCAGATGTGGGAAAGAGAATTGCTAATTATTCAATGGCCTGAGGAAAAGCAGTATCCAAATTTAAGTTTAAAAAATACAGATAAAACTGTGTTGAGTATTCTTAAAGAGGAAATCACAAGTTTAATGTTTACTCAATTATTGGGTTACTTTGTAAATAAATATTATATTGTCTGTTCATAATAAATTCTTCTATAATATGAGAATCCATAAAAGTTAAAATTGCCCTTCAGATGGCAATACATTAGATGTTAAAACCAATCAGCTCTTTCCCCTTCGTTGTGGGGTATTATCAGTTTATCAACACTGGAAACGAATTAGGATGTTACAGGCTTAGAAAAATCTCTATAAGGACAAGACTGTAAATATTTCAAGATTTTGAATAGCATAACGTTTATTATTTTGAAAGCTTAATTTTTAAGAACTGGGATTCTACACCTCAAAAAAATAAAGGGAACACTTAAACAACACAATGTAACTCCAAGTCAATCCCACTTCTGTGAAATCAAACTGTCCTCTTAGGTAGCCACACTGATTGACAATCAATTACACATGCTGTTGTGCAAATGGAATAGACAACAGGTGGAAAGCATAGGCAGTTAGCAAGACATCCCCAATAAAGGAGTGGTTCTGCAGGTGGTGACCACAGACCACTTCTCAGTTCCTATGCTTTCTGGCTGATGGTTTGGTCACTTTTGAATGCTGGTGGTGCTTTCACACTAGTGGTAGTATGAGACGGAGTCTATAACCCACGCAAGTGGCTCAGGTAGTGCAGCTCATCCAGGATGGCACATCAATGCGAGCTGTGGCAAGAAAGTTTGCTGTGTCTGTCAGCGTAGTGTCCAGAGCATGGAGGCGCTACCAGGAGACAGGCCAGTACATCAGGAGACGTGGAGGAGGCCATAGGAGGGCAACAACCCAGCATCAGGACCGCTACCTCCGCCTTTGTGCAAGGAGGGACAGGAGGAGCACTGCCAGAGCCCTGTAAAATGACCTCCAGAAGGCCACAAATGTGCATGTGGCTGCTCAAATGGCCAGAAACAAACTCCATGAGGGTGGTATGAGGGCCCGACGTCCAGAGGTGGGGGTTGTGCTTACAGCCCAACACCGTGCAGGACATTGGGCATTTGCCAGAGAACACCAAGATTGGCAAATTTGCCACTGGCACCCTGTGCTCTTCACAGATGAAAGCAGACTCACATTGAGCACATGTGACAGACGTGACAGGGTCTGGAGACGCCGTGGAGAATGTTCTGCTGCCTGCAACATCCTCCAGCATGACCGGTTTGGCGGTGGGTCAGTAATGGTGTGGGGTGGCATTTCTTTAGGGGGCCGCACAGCTCTCCATGTGCTCGCCAGAGGTATCCTGACTGCCATTAGGTACCGAGATGAGATCCTCAGACCCCTTGTGAGACCATATGCTGGTGCGGTTGGCCCTGGGTTCCTCCTAATGCACGACAATGCTAGACCTCATGTGGCTGGAGTGTGTCAGCAGTTCCTGCAAGATGAAGGCACTGATGCTATGGACTGGCCCGCCCGTTCCCCAGACCTGAATCCAATTGAGCACATCTGGGACATCATGTCTCGCTCATTCCACCAATGCCACGTTGCACCACAGACTGTCCAGGAGTTGGGGAATGCTTTAGTCCAGGTGTGGGAGAAGATCCCTCAAGAGCCCATCCGCCACCTAATCAGGAGCATGCCCAGGCATTGTAGGGAGGTCATACAGGCCCGTGGAGGCCACACACACTACTGAGCCTCATTTTTACTTCTTTTAAGGACATTACATCAAAGTTGGATCAGCCTGTAGTGTTTTTTTCCACTTTAATTTTGAGTGTAACTCCAAATCCAGACCTCCATGGGTTGCTAAATTTGATTTCCATTGATAATTTTTGTGTGATTTTGTTGTCAGCACATTCAACTATGTAATGAACAAAGTATTTAAGAAGAATATTTCATTCATTCAGATCTAGGATGTCTTTTTTTTGTGTTCCCTTTATTTTTTTGAGCAGTGTATTTCAAATTGAAAAGATAGCAAATTTAATCTGGTAAGAATTTATATCAGGCAAAAGATTACCTAATAGTCATTTCCAGAGAGAAAATTAAATAAGGGCACAAGAAGGGAGTTGGACACTCTGTAAGCCTCCTACTAAGTACAATGTTTAAATCACAACAGTGCAGATCTACTATATATACTTTATACAGTGAGTGGAGAAGCCAATAGTGCCTAGAACATCTTTACCATTAGAGCACAACAGTACATAGAGCCCTGGATTTAGACTATGTGTAAAAATTTCTGTGAATTCTCAATGTAATTAGAATCTTCTGTACATAAAGATATTAATAATTAACTTTACAAAGTAAACATTTTGGCAATCTGCTTACCTTTAAAGCGTATCTGTCATCAAAAGAATGTTTTATCATTAGATTCTTCAAAACTCCAATTGCAATTTGTCGTATCTCTCTGAATTCTTGCAATGCATTTCCCACTTCTCTGAGAAGCAGTCCCACCAAAAAGTGATGCTTGCAGAAGTCATCCGATAAGGAGTAGTCCAGCTGAAGATCTGAAATCAAGCATCACACAGTTTTATTTTATTTCTATGCTGGTCTTCTTCTTAGATGAGTCCAGAAAGTCTGAATGGGTATAAAAGAAGACTGAAAAATCATCGCAATAAATGCATCAATGCCTACAAACACAGACACTTCGACACATATGCACACAACCCATTTAAAAAAATGACATAATTTTAGAAAAAGAGAAAATCAGATAAATAACAATTTTCATATAAACTCTGGTAAGATTAAATGGCTGTAGGTGAATCTTTGTAAGAGGGATGTCTGTGGGCAGGCGGGGAAGGGTGTCTCTGCATCTGGGAGTTTATCATCTTTGGTCCTGGATGAGGTTGCACTATCCTAGACAGATCCAGTGCAAAATCTGGAAGTGTTCTCCTGGACCCCTCGGGGCTCCTGCTCAAAGAACAAATGATAGTTGTGGCTAGGAGGCCCTTTCCTTAACTTGGCGTTGTGTGCCAGTTACACCACTTGCATATATTCTCACCATCTCAAGGTTGACTCAGCCTTCCATCCGTCCGAGGTCAGAAAAATGAGGACCCAAATTGTTGCGGACAATATGCTGACTCTATAAACTGCTTAGAAGGGCTGTAAGGCACTATGAAGCGGTATATAAGTGTAAGCGCTATTGCTGTATTGCAAACCAGAAATATCAGCATCCAAAAAGCTAGGTGTCTGCAGATATATTTTCTTACAAATAGCTGAAGTCTGAATATCTCTTCAGAACTTCAGGTTTGAAATCAAGGGGTGCCAAAGGGGAAATAAATAAACTAATAGTTTTAAGGTTATTTCCCAGTATAGCACAAAAAACTGTTAAGGTACACAGGCTTGAAGCACTGTGGATCATAGAGAACTATTTGTGCACTTCTTCAGAAGTCTATCAAAACTAGATGTAATTTTTAAAAAAGTAGAACTACTACTAGCTGGGCAGTCCATGGGATACGGTTACATGTGGGAAACTTGCAAAAAATGGGTAGAACTTCAATTACAACAGCGTAGCTGTGTCATGTTGAGTTTTTTTACCACACCCTGTGTTATCCCTGACTTCTAGGTTCTCTAGCAAATGCTACAATAAATAACATCCTGCATTTTATTTTTTTCAATTTATTGTAACATGCATTTTCATTTTGTTTCCAATGAAGGCCGATATGTCATGTTTATTTTAATAAACTCTAGTATGACTCAAACATGAAATTCCCACATTTGCTTTTATATACACATTATTATAATTTCTAAGATCAAAGTTTATGATTGGGAAACATCACACCCACCTCCAGGAATATCATACGACTCCACTATAAGGAAAGCTAATTCAAAGAAAAAAAGAAGCAAAGATAGACAAAAACTAACATGTTGTCGTTGACTCTCCTCATGCCTAACAAAGAAAGTAAGAAACTAAATTACATATTAAATTACCTATGTTTTTTACTTCATCATTGTACTGCCTACAGAACTGCAGGAAGAAGAATTTATTATATTTATCAAACTACAGAATTCCAATATATATATTTTTAGGATATGAAGGATTTTTTAAAAGAGATGTTTATTCTTTTAGGAATCTCAATTTAGCTGTATCAAATATAAATTTACCTTGGTATCTCTGAATCCTGCCTGTTCCAAATGGCATAGGTAGATTTAAAGGAATGTAGTGTTCGTGATTACATACTGCTCGGAGAAATTCAAATTTGAATTCAAAAAGAGCCTGTAAAACATATTATTGTTATAAGTTATGATCTACTAGATGTTAATCAAAAAAGGCAAGGAAAATAATCTTTAGATCACTGGCTCAATATCCTAGATATTAGCAAAGCAATGGCTATATGTCCTATATATACAGTATATAAAATCTTAAAGAATTGTATGGATGTAGACACTTGCATTTCAACACAATAATTATGGATTATTTGCCCATTCTTGATTCATTTTCTATTTCTGCTACAGTTGCATAGATTGTGTAAAAAGTATATTACCAGCAGCTTCTAATAATTTCTGAAACTGGTTCAAATCAAGTTATGAATAGATTTTGCAATTTTATATACTGCCAGTGGATGGCAATATACAATGATATGTATCTTCTAACACAAAAAAGCCTCATCATCTAATAACTGATTTAAACTAAAAATGCCATCATCAGTTAAAATCTTCCATATACCAGGTTTTTAAAATAAACTTTATGGTCTGGATTACTGCATTGTATTAATATAGCATTAGAAAAAGGATCAAGACAATTTTGCAGAACTAGCACGCCACAATTTAGTCTCATATATTACATTTTAATCCCTAACAGTCCAATTAAGTAAATCTGATATAGATGAGAATATACCACAAATATCCCCTAAACCAACCCACGGGCTATGGCTTAATTATGCTTGCTAGTCATAGTATTCTGGATAAACAAGGTTTTTTTCCTGGTTAGGGAGGGAAGGTATGTTGTGGACATACTGTCAGTTAAACAATTCCCACTGGCGGGGACCAGGTAGGGAGCCTTCTCTGCTGTTGCCCTGCCCTTCGGAACCTTCTCTCACCAGAGATGAGGGCCCCCTGAATCTCTTAAGACGGCTTGGGGCTCACAGAAGGGCACCCAGCCATGAGGCTGGTTAGGACCCTGAAGGACTACTCCACCTTTTAATTAACTTTTAATTAACTATCCTTGCCTCTACTTTAAATTTTTATATTCAGTTTTTATATCTTTACATAAAAACACCGCTCACAGTCCCTCTGTGAGGAAGATGGGCAGTTTCTAAATTTAATAAATAAATAGTTTTCTGAATCTAGACTACATAGGAAAAATTTGCAGATGTTAATAACATTCCTATCAAGCTCATTTGTTAAAGTTTATTGAAAAGTTCTTAGATACCTAATTAGCACTCTTTGTTGACTTTCTAACTGAAACTCAACATGTTAATATAAATCTATCTTGAAGATAAGAAGCTCAATTCAATTTAGTTATTGTTCAGTTACTGCAGGCTGCAGTAAGTAAGAAGATTCTGTGTAGATTATATGCACTACTTGATCTAGTGTTATGACCGCAATTGGACGCAAAATTTCTGTTGCTAAGTGAGACAGTTTTTAGTGAGTTTTGCCCCATTTTAAGACCTTTCTTGCCACAATTACTGCAGTGAATCACTGCAGTTGTTAAGTTAGTAACATGGTTACGTGAATCTGATTTCCCCATTGACTTTGCTTGCTAAAAGGTTGCAAAAGTGAACGCATGACTTGGGACATTGCCACCACTATAAATATGAGTCAGTTCCCAAGAATCTGAATTTTGATCACATGAACATGGAGATGCAGCAATGGTCATAAGTGTGAAAAATGGTCATAAGTCACTGTTTTCAGTGCCACTGTAACTTTGAATGGTTACTAAATGATCTGTTGTAATCGAGGACTACCTATAGACAAGAATGGCTGCAATTTCATTTGATTGGGGTTCTAAGAAGGATAAAATGTCTTCTCTGAATTTACAAAACAGCCCCATTGAAAGTTCATATATTTAAATATCCCTAAACATAACAGGAAAATACTATCTATTTCCCAATTCAAGAATTATATTTGCAGTATAGTACCTTTGGATCTCCTGGAGCAAAGAAGCTGATATAGTTGTTAATTTGCTTGAATATGAAACCTCTGTCCATAAACGTGAAACATCGCTGCAAAAGCAAAGCAAAGCAAAAACAAAACAAAAGAGTCACAGAAATTTACATTTCTTTGATATCTAAAAAAAAAATCCTATGAGTTAAACTAATCTAAAGGGCAAACAATAGCCAAATACCTATTATACCTTTTCACAGTACATACATTTTAGATTTGCAAATTAAAATAGTCTAATTTGAATAATGATATAGTTCAAGACCACTCAGTGTTAACCAATAAGTATTATTAAAAACCGAATGTATACAACTGGATTAATGCAGGATGAATGCTTCATTGATTACAGATTCAATTGATTCAATTGTATTGATCATATCAAATTGTGGAAAGTGCTCAGAAAAAGGAAAATCCCAGAACATCATGGGAAACGTATAAACAGGTCAGGAACCCTCAGTACACATACAGCATGGCAAAACAGACAGGCTCCAGGTTGGTAAAGAAACACAACAAATAGAACAGACCGTCCACTTCTTCATTCAATCTACATGCAATATATGTTAAGGGAAGCTGGACTGGAAGAAGATCAATGTAATTTTAAAATTGGACAAAGAAACATCAACATCCTGCACCACACCCTTGGCGCTTTCTAATAGTCAAAAATGCAAAGGTTCTGCAAACCCTAGAACTAAAAGTCAAAGACCGGGAGGTGGAGTGTAGGATGAAAATTGAATGTAAATTAGGTTGGAATTAATGACAAGAAGTAGAACAATCAACCTTAGAATTGACAATGAAGATTACTGAAATTATACTCAAATGCCATGATGTGTCTATACCTACCAAAAATTGTTCAAGCCATGGTATTTCATGGAAGTGGAAGTTGGACTTTAAAGAATAAAGGATAGGGAGAGTATTGATGCCTTAAAACTTTGATGTTGGAAAAGACCTCTGAGAATACCATAGATAGCGAAGAAAACAAATGGATGCCACTGAACAAATCAACCCAGAGTTCAGGGCACAAATGTCCAGTTCTCCCCTGAGATACAAATTGACAGGACATAAATGACTAAATGAGCTACTTTGGACATATTATGTTACGACTTAGCTCTCCAAAAGAGGCTTGTAAGGCTGCAAAAACCAGCAGCAAAGTGGATGGCTTAGCAGAGAAGCATTTTGATCATTTTTTACTATGTATTATTTATATTTTGAAATTGCTCTGTGAGATTCTTGTAAGCTGCCAAATGAAATAGAAATGATTTCAATAAATAAGTGCCCACAAAGATAATACATTTGAACAATTCACAGCCATTTGGAAGAACTAATGAGGACATACATACAGTCTACTTCAGGGGTGGGCAAACTACGGCCCGGGGGCCACATCCAGCCCGTTGGGCTTTTTAATCCGGCCCGCCGAAGATTGGTACAGAATTAAGGTTTGATGTGAATGATTGAATGATTGCATTCATTTGATTTTGACTTGTAATGACAGGCATTTAGACACCAGGTGGCGGCCCGTCTGTCAAATTTTAAAAGTCAATGAGGCCCCAGAGCCAAAAAGTTTGCCCACCCCTGGTCTACTTACTTTTATGAAGACAGCAAGACTATAGTTTGCATTCTTTGAAGCTTCTGGGTTATCCTTATATTTCTGAGTAATGTGGGGCATCAGCATATTGACAACAGTTTCCACAGCATGATGAAACGATGCTGGAAATCTCTGATTTCTCAGCAACTACAAACAGACAAATTAAAATTTAACAAATGGGAACACTGAAAAGTTATCCTGTTTATCCATAACACATGTGTACAGTTTTCAATTCTGAAACAACTTCAGCTGCAAGAATTCTGTAGTGTTGAAAAATATTGAAACACCTTTATCTAAATATCTATGAAGCTATAGGAAACACCATTCTAAAAATATTTATTCAACTAGTTTAGCACAAGTAATAGTACTAACAACTTCTTGCAGTGAAAAATTATAGAAAAAGTACACTAACATGAGAGCATTTGGAATTATAAATCCAAACTAATTTATAGAATATATTTCAATAAGAAAAATAGATACAATTTTAAGTAAACAACTTCCCATTTGCTGCAGCTTTCTACAATTGTAGAGTACAATTCCCATCATTCTAGACAGCATTACCACTATTTTGTGGCCAGTAAATGGCAGCAGGGATTAGAAACAGATAGATCCATTTTTAAAGGTCAATGGGTACCATAACTTCTTGAAATAGCAGATCATTTACCTTTACTTTAGCATTTTCCAGTAGGTGTTGGGCCATTGATTTGATCAAAATTTCGAAGAAAAACCAGGAATACTATTGGAGAAACAAAAAGTAAGTAAATTAGATTTTTTTAGTCTACCTTCTTTTTTATAAATAACTCAAAGCAGCAAACATATATGTAATACTCTTTCTTCCTCAATTTTCCCCACAACCACCCTGTGAGGTGAGTTGGGTAGAGAAAAGTGTCGGGCCCAAACTCACCAAAATGGCTTTCATGCCTAAGGTGACACTATAACTCACATAATCTACTGTATATACATAATACAATTATATTTATAGGTAATACATGGTTTAGTATTTAAAAACAATATAAGTTATTCATTTATATCTATAATTTATACAACTGTTATTGTCAATTATTAAAATGATGAAGTGCCAAAATTGTTTTCAGATCTGAGAAACTCTTCAATTGATGATACAAACAAAACATCATTTTTCCTTATATACCTTAAGCAGCTTGTTGCTTGTGAGGAAGTCAGTACAAGGCTTCAAGATTGTTGTCATGGTTTTGGCAAGTTCTTCATGTACAGTTTTATATTCTGAAGCAATATAAGTTTCTCCTTTAAAAACGTACTTGGGATAAGAAAAATAAAAGAGCTTATATTACGCAAAAATATTCAGAGTTATGTTAATCATGCAATTTTTAAACAAAGCATATTTATATGATTGATACCTTGACATAGGATCTCAAATAGCTATCCAATCCTTCTTCGTGACAGTGGGCAACCACATGGATAATAACCCTAAGTAAAATAAAGTTAACAATAAGAAATCTTCACGCTAAATATTTTTAAAGTCAGCAATTGGCACATTACAGGCGGTCCTCATCTTACAAGCCATGGGGGCACAATGGTTAGAATTAGAATGCAGCACTGCAAACTAATTCATCATGAAGTCCCTTGAAAAATTGGTCTGGCGGAACATCCTTTCTGGTCTTCTACATATATTTGATAAACACCAGTTTGCATACAGAAAAAATAGATCTACAGAGGACACTATAGCCATCACATTAATCTTTCCGAAACTAAAACAGGGTGAAGTATATATTCCAAAGAGTTTACATTAGGTGATCGGATGTCCATAACTGTTGGTTTTACTTTATATTAATAGTTTTGTGGTTCTCTATGTGTCGGTTTTACTCTTACCATGAAAGTTTCCATTCTGATCTTGTTGCTGATACTTTTAATTATTTTAAACTGCCAAAATCAATTATGTTGCATAAGTAAATAAATAAATAAATAAATACGTTAAAACCCTTTTTACCTTGTCACATTCACTGCAACATCTTCCTGAGTTGCCCTTGTAAGAACTCTAAACAACTGGTTTAAAATAGTAGGCAGAAATGCTATCATGACATGTCCCTCCATAGCATGAAGGCTCTAGAATAAAAACAGTGACACAAAGGGACTTTTTTTTTTCTAACATACTTATTTTCAAAACTAAATCAAGAATCTATGATTGCAATTCTATTAAACTTTAGTACTACCAAGACTGACAAGATTTGCACCAAACTGAGAAGAGTTTAAACACAGAATAAAAATTCAGTAACATAAGCAAGCCAATTTCTATGTTATTTCATAGTTTTCCAGAAGAATCAAGACAGATAAGAACAGGTAAGATGAGAAAATACCGTTTTACAGACATACTTTTACTCAAGAAATAAAACCACAAGAAAAGCACCATGCTGCTGTACTGTTCTAATATGAAAGGTTGTTGAACATGCCCCATTAAAATTATTGTTGGGATATCTTAAACTAACTTTCTAAACAAGGTTAATATCTCAGACATGTAATATATTCACTTATTTAACAACTATCTTGGTTAGCAACCATTTGCAAATATGGTGGGGGTAATAAATTCATTTTCCAACTAATGAGCATTTATGATAAAATTTTGTGTGCTTGACAATAATGCATGTTGTAGTGAGAGTAAAGTGAACATAGCTGTACAAGAGAACAGAATACTGAGTACCATTGTTCCACAGCTTATTGTTACACTTTAGGAGTACACTATATAGATAACTTTTGCCATGACTAATTCTCTGCCATGAATAGACATTGCTAATTGTAGCAAAAGTTGGTTTCCATTCAATCCTGTCCACCTGGTTAAGATTTATTTTGTTGTAAAGTTATTACAAAACACACATTCTGACTCCCAGAATAGTGCACATAAACATATGAGTAGGAGTACCCATTTTGCATGCTGGTATGACAAAGTTCTCCTTATTAATATATGCAACCATTTTATTTTACACATTCCAAATTTGGTTGTTCTTGAACTACCAGGATTGGCCTGGAGAAAATGTACGTGGTCATTAAGAGCTGATACCATCTTGATGGTATATAATCGGTTAATCAAGTCACCCAGAGCTGAAATTTACTTCAAACTTTTTTTTTACATGTAAGGTTTTTCAATTTTTTTACTTTTTGGCTGAATGTATTTAAACATGCCATTGTATTGGTAACCATTCAACTGTGCCCATCTAGTACCCATCTTTTAGTCATCTTATAACATTTCATACCTTAAGATATTTCACAAGGTCACATCCTAAAGCTTGAGCGCCAGACATAGTTTTTTGACAGTAATGGAAGAAATTGTTTAAATGCTGGTCCTAGTAAAAGAAGAATAAACTATTTATATGACATCACTACTTCCATTTTAAAAAGTCAATATTGACTAGGGGGGAAATGTTTTGACTTTCAAGAGCTCAACAAAATTGAAAAACTTGTCCTTCCCTGTTGAGTTCTCATACATAATATAATAATACAACTTTATTCATTTCAATTATGTAACACTTATTGCTCCTGAGCCTTCATTATTCTTGTACAAAATACTTGGAAGTTTTCATTTTTCTAATATTTCAAACACCAAAAATATTAAAATATGGAAGCAAAGACCAATTCCTCACTCTGGATTTTCAGTAAGCGTATTATAACTACAAATGGGATCTCTGAGATGTGCATTAGACTTCTCTATTTCTATCTATTCATTACTTGGTAAATACTATATATGATCTCATTCCAAAGGTTAAGGTTTGCACCAATTCAAAAGTTTGACTCAAATTTCCTTGGTATTGCTGTTTCATAGCCCAGGCTAATAATAGATCTTGAAGACTTTTATGCCTGTAATTTATTATTTTACTTAATGAAGGCTGTGTCTAATTATGATTTAATACTAATAGTAAGCATCCTCTTGAAGATTTTCAGGAAAGTAGGGTACAAGAAAGAATAGCGAAGCCTAGGGCAAACATGCTCTCTTGGTCCTCCCTTTGTATTTTCTTACTTGAACAAAGTCCCATTACATAAAACTCGTAATTTTAATTTTGAAATGTTAGTGTTGAACAGATTTGTTTATCCCATGACCTTTCCCCCAGAAAGTCAGAGTATTGTCCTCATCTTGTGCTAATCTAAAAGCCAGCACAAAGACAGGAAAATCTGCTATATATTCTTTCCAACTCTACGCTTGGACACTGTTAGTAAAGTTGGAGCCCTGTCATGTGGGAAAGGCTATATGAGTTTATTTCCCTTTACTTCCCTTTCCTACACTTAAGCAAAGATTCATACATTTCCTCTGCCTTTTGTTCTCCGGGTTGATTGCTATAGTAAGATGGGCAAGCAAGATAATCAAAACTTGATTGTGTCATATTTTTCATAACTTATATTTTATCATTACAGAATTATAAAAATATAAGTTGTTTGCAGATTAAATAAAATCTTGGTAAAATAGTGTAAATAATACCAACCTGTGTATATACAGTGGAAACTAGGTGAGTTGAAATTGTCAACAGTGGTTTGCCTCCATCTACCCATTTAATTTCAGGGCTGGAATACTGATATAAAAATAAAAGGTGGTAATTTAATGTATTAATACAAACCCGCTTTTTCTAACAGCAAAACCAAACAAATAAGATAGATATTATCTTGGGTTTTTTACTTTGCTTATGCCTGATTCTTGACTGTTAAGATATCCACTTGGAAGATAAGCAGATACTGGCATATGTTGTTCATTTGTCACCACTCTGCCATCTTTTAACAACTGAAGCCAGGAATATCCAACTAGAAGAAATGAAAAGAGAAATTATATCTTTGTTGTATTCTCTAATAAGTTTTATGTTTAATTTTAGCTAAATATATCACCTATAAAAAAATAACTCAATCAAACCTTGTGTTTCAATTATGTCCTTCTTCTTGGTGGTCCCTTTACTTGAACTGTCACAACTAACATGATAGAAGGTAAACAATAAATGGTGTTTTTCATGCAGCTGTGTGGGCAATTCTATTTTTACCTAAGAAGAAATAAAATGCAAGTTTTGGTTTGGAAAGTGTCTTTTAGCAGTAGTATATATAGTACAAATTTACAATATACAACACATAAGCATTATACATTTACCACTGGACCAGATTTAAGAGACTTTGTATTAACCTATAAGATCTTATAAACAGTGAGGGACCAGCATACTGCCAAGATGGCCTAGTTCCTACTGTGACCAATTCAAGATTATCTGATTGTACCACATTTTATCAATAAATTCTTTGGGGTGAAGAAGGAAGAGAACCTTCTCTGTCGTGGCATTTTAAAAGGATAACATAATAATCACTTGAGTTAACACTAGCACAATCTTATTTCACTTTATGTTCTTATTCAAAATATTTTTAATAAGGTTGAAATGTGATTTTTTTTTTCATAATTGTACTTCCACGTTACTTGTGGTTGTTGTTCTTTTCTGTTTTGCAAATTCGACTTGGTGGAGAACAAACTTCAAATAGTAATTCTTCCTACTAGAATCAGAGTGCTGCTAAGATGGAAATTAGATGAAGGGAACTGAAATACTAGTGAGTTTACAAAAAATGATAAAATATTCGTTTTACATTTTAAAAAATAGGGTAGAATGCAATTATATGCATTTCCCCATTAATTATCATATGATCTGTTACTACTTCATATTTTTTTCTTTCTGTACATGCTCACTATTTTCTTTTCTTTTTTAATGGGTAGAAACTAAGGGTAGACAGTTTGAGAGCTGTCAAACTCCCGGCCCATGGGCCAGATGTGTCATGCACTGGCCACTCCCATGCCCAGTTTAGCAAAGGGGAAAAAAGTCATTGTGATGATGTAAGTTTGACAACCCTGCAGTAGACAGACTTATCTGCCTAACTCTCAATAAAAATGCTTGACATGTTTGCAAAGCAACTTCTTTCCTCTTAACCCACTGTGTTTCTGGAAAACAATTAAATTGGGCAAGGATTTTTGGAGCAAGGAAAGAAGACAAAGTTACCTCATCATAGAACTCTGGGTTTTGCTGGTGATGCAAAACTGCAACAAATGCTTGTCTTGTAAATATTGGACCCCCTGGTCTGCCATAGATGCACTAGGAATGAAACAGAAGAAGAAATGGCTGGTTTATACTGATCTTATTTTTTTTAGATATAATTTCTGAAATATTTTCATGTGAGATTTTTTTGGGAAAAAAACATTCTGGGCCTACAATCCCTACTCACGGTCACTCGTGTCCTAGTCACTTCTCATCTTGACTATTGCAACATGCTCTGCATGGGGCTGCCCTTGAAGAGCATACAGAAGCTCCAGTTGGTGCAAAATGCAGCAGCCTGCATGGTTTTGTGCAGATTTCAGTGTGCCCATGTATCACCTCTCCTGTGGGAGCTGCCTCGGTTGCCGATTTGCTTCCGGGTGCAATTCAAGGTGCTGGTTAAATCACTTCATGGCTTGAGACCAGGTTATCTGAGGGATCTCTTGCTGGTCACAGTTGCGCGCCCCATTCCATGGCCTTTCCCATGGTAGCTTCCTTTCTCTGAAACATCATTCCCTCAGAGATTAGAATGGCCCCCACACTAACACACTTTTGGAAGGCACTGAAGACCTGGTTCTGCCAATGAGCCTGGGGAACACAGAGTGGGATGGAGCCCATTAAATGGCTGGTGTGATGTATTATCGCTGGGGTGGGGAGAATGGGGGATTATTATATTGTATTATTTTATTAATTTATTATATGATTCTCTCTTTTATTAGCTTTATTGTTTTTATATGAGGTTTTTATATTCTTGTAAGCCGCCTTGAGTCACCATGTGAGAATAGGCAGCAATATAAATTTCCTAAAATAAATCAGTAAATAAATAACGTTCCCGTTTTTTCTACAAGATAATGCAAGTTAGCAAAGCTTCTCCTTTAATTATGAGTCGACTGTTGCTATATTTAACAATACTTAACAGTATGGATGTGAAGCACTTTGGTAGGGGTAGGTGAGCCCAAGCTTGCTCTGTAGCACTTGTCAGCTTTCAGTCTAAAGTGCTACGACTTCTGGCATGTAACAATAAGCACTCTGTGATATATGGAATATATGATAAAAGGAATATTATCTCTTTAGAGATTGATTCTGATTGTATCAGAGTCTGTATCAGAGTGAATATGTGAAGAAAGGGGAGATGATTTTGTACTAACAGAGCAAAGTTCAAACTCTGCTACAACTGCTTTCTTCAAGGGGGAATTCCTTGTTTTTACTGATGTCATTTCATTATTCCTGTGAGGGATTTACAACTTGTATTTTTCTTGAACCTGATAACAACTCATGGGAAGCAACTCAGAGATGAGAAATGAATTGAAAATCTAAAAAACAAGGCAGGGTGATCTAATGTGCATAAACTGAGACTTGCTAAATTGCTTTTAATCCCTATTTAGTGTTTTATATCTCTTAAAGCAAAAGGTTTTTTAAAAAATCATGGTATTTTTTACATAATATTGAGTACAGATTAGGAAAGTTACTAATAGAAAGTAAATAGAGTTCTTTGTATTGGCTTTTTCCTATCTTGAAATTCAATTCTAAATACCAAAGAATATGCACACGCACACACACACACACACACACACACACACACACACACACACAAAAAGACAGCTGTGTTAAAGGGATGTACATTGACACAAATTGCAACCACATATCACTGTGAATGTTGCAATTTTTAAAATGTCCTGAAAAATTGTTTTTGTTCAAGATTATTCCTTAAATGTTAAAGTCTGAGACTCAAATCTTTGTTAAAACACCTAATGGGTAGGAAAAGTATATTTCTTACATAGCTGCACCTACTCTAATTTAAACTAGAAAAATCACTGCTCTGCCTCAGTATGAAAAATAACTTTACAAGAAATTGGTTGATTCTAATTTCAGGCAGCAAACTTATTAAAAATGGATGTTACCTCTTTTGTTTATATTTCTACACATTTATGGAAAATCAGTCTAATGTAACATAGAAACTCAATTACTTAGCAGCTGTAGTTAACTTGATTTCTGCTTAACTTCTTATTTCACTGAAAAACAATTCCAACTACATTTATTTCTATGAAAAAAAGCAGAGTAGAATTGTGTGTAGCTTGTTCTTGTAACCAGATTTATTTGTGCTTAGGTAAAACACAGAATATAATATTAAGAAACTTGAGGATGTATCTTAGATATTGCCCCATCATCTGTACTGTAAATTGGTATTAATGACTGAACAGCCACAAGCCAGATAACATACCTTCAAAGGCTGAGAGTCTTCATTATCGGAATCTCTGAATTCTATGCACACTGCAATATTTCTTGCCTAAAAAGAGCACAGGAATTAAGTTTAGTTGCTTTTATTTTCAAGTACATAAATCAAATTTCCAACAATGAGACATGTTTTTACTCAGATTCAATTTAGCTCTGAATCTGAACATAATTAACAGACACATTAACCCACCTTTGCAAATGTCTTCTGACTGTCGTATTTCAAGTACTTTGGATAAACATAAAGGTGGTTGTTGTAGATAGTGAAAGGCTGAGTATGTTTTGGTATACAGGGAACAAATTCCTCTACTTCAAACGTTACTACTGCCTTGGAATTGTTTTCAAACTGTTTCATGGGAATGTATGATGAATTAACAAAATCTGAAAATATATTAGAATTGAATTTTACAAATGGAAGAATAAAGCCATTGTAGCCACTTTTTACAATAGTTTTTCAATACTTACTTGGTACTTCTGCAGAAACATTATCAATTGTTATGTCTAGGTTTCCTAAAATAACTGGCAACTTAGACATCTTTTCAGTCCTATAAGAAAAAAACAAAAAACAAATATGACCTAACAGAAAAATAGTTGAGACAATATATTCACTCTCAATCATGAAAAAATACAAAGCATACTTAAAAAAAAAATAGTTCAGCTCATTTCAAATTAAAATAACGATCTGGGCTCTGGGTCAACCTGAAAGAAGGGATGTTTATGGAACCAGCCTTTCTCTACCTCATAGATTGCTGGTATTTCAGTTTCCCATCCCTCCCAAAAGTCCCCAGAGAAATAGACGGTCTGTCCAACATAGGGTATTATGTCTTGCATGGTATAACAGAGCTGAGAAGCAGAATAAAATAGAGGAATCCTTCATCGTTTGCACAAAGTTCATTATGTTACGCTTTTCTCTCCTTCTGCGTGCCATTACTGCGTGAATGGTAAGTCCTTGACCTTTGGAGGGCTTTTCAGAAGGCAAACAATGGAAAAAGATAATCTAGCAACTTCTAGCAGATGCTGAATTGTCCTCTGACAGAGATTCTCCAGAGGAAGCTGCATTGAGTAGGAGATTGGACTAAATGAGTTGGAAAATCCCTTCCAAATCTAGTTTCATGAAATATGTTTGCATTTTGTATTCTAGAGAAATGAAGTTCTCTACATAATGTACAATACAACTTTATATCTGCAAACCCTAATGTGCATATTCATGCAGCTTTTAATTCAAAATATCCACAAAATGTTTTCACAAATTCCACAAATATTCACATCCACAGAATTTTCTTTGCAATTTTTAGTCTTTTCAAAAAAATGCCTTCTGCTACAATATTTTTACTTAACCTGTACATTTGCAAGAAGATTTTCATTTTTTTTCTATATACGGCTTTTTATAGTTTCAGACAACAGGAAGTCTTTCTCTTTAATTGTGTTTTGTTTTCATTTTACCAGTAAGAAAAATTTATAAATAGTATCCACTTTTGCAAGGAAACCTTCAGAACTCATGAGTCAGGTTTCAAACTCCTAATTCTTTCAGTGTGCTCTTAATACATCAAAACTAAATTTAAAATTATTGATTTTAAACTTTTTAATCGTGGAATATATATCATTACTAAAGACTTATGACATGTATATTTAAAGCCACTTTTGAATAAATCACATAGACAGGCTCATTCCTAAATAAACTAATTAAAAATCAATCTAAAATACCAAAGAGGAAGTTGGTAATAACTCAATTGGAGACCCCCCCAAAAGGCAGCACCACACCATTCCACGCAACACAGTTTATTACCATTTAAATTAATGTGAATGATTTCATTTCTAAAACAAAATACTCACTTTCTGAAATCAGCTAACACTTTAAGCATGTCTTCGTTTGAAAGTTTATTACTGTCTTGTTTGTAAAGTGTAGAAAATCTTGCACTTTTGTCCAGTGTTCCAGCCATGTCCTTAAACAATGTTCTGAAATACAAGTTTTTTAAAATCAAAAATATTTATATAAACTTCATAGTAGAAAAATAAAGATAAGAGGCAGTTTAGAAAACATTAACACATGAATTTACCAAATTTAGTATAAATGGTTGAAAAGCAGTACATTCCAATTCTAAATAATTTGTCACAAAAACTGAGTTGATGCCAAACTAGAAATACATTTAAACCTTTACTTTTATTCAATAGGAGAGGGCACTCCCATAAATTAATTTACCAATATAGGAGGTCACAACAATACAAGTCAGAGAGTTCTTGGATTAAATCAAGAACATTATCATGCATTACCTGGCTGCCCATGCAAATGGCATTCTGTATTGCCCTAGTCGTTGGCAAGCTTGCTTTGCATTTTTCAGAACCTTTTGAGCAACCTGTAAGCAATCAGAAAAAGAACTGAATTTTTAAAAATGCCCCCACATACATTTCTGCAATCCCTAGTCTTACTGAAACTGAAATTTCTTCCACTCCCTTTTCTTAATTTACCAAACTACTATGGGCGTCAAACTCTAAATCAAATTCAGCCTTAACTCCTAAAATGTATCTAAAAAGTTGTTTCCCATGTTTTTTTATTACAATTAATTTCTTGTTTTCCAAACAAATCTTAAAACTAAAGCAATATTTGAGATTCCTTAACAGAGTATTCAAAACTTGATTTTACAATCTTTTTTAGTCTGCTTTGTCAACTGATAAACAAATTTCAGGACAGAAGGTGCAACTTTGCCTACAATCTGTCTTTGCCCATGTCTGCAAGTGTAGGAATTAAACTGACAGTGAAATCTGGCAACTATGTCTTGAATATGTGCACTTTTCAATTGGATAATGTTGTTGAGTTATCAGGTTATAGATGAATTCAGAAATTAGAAATACCCAACAATCGAAGTAAATACCTTAGAAGAATCAGAACTTTTCATATATGGCTCAGCACAATGAGTAATGCTGCCTTGTAGAACTTTTTCTATTCTGGCCACTAGAAATATATCCGGGTGTGGACACGTTACTGAGAATATTCCCTAAAAACAAATTAATTGCTTCATTAATTCTTAAATATAAATATGGGACACTGATTTGTAATGAAACACTATTTTTTCCTTACTTGTTTGGGATATTGTAGTATAACATCTGAAATAATATCCTGAATTGGATGTAAGCAATCACTACTCCCATTCAACAACTCCTGTGATGTATTAGCTAGCATTTGTCTCACTGTGCTATGATTCAAATCAACATGGAAATCTGATGAAATCTTCCGATTATGCTTAACATCGAATAGTGACAGTGAGATGAAAAATGGCTCTACCTGGACATTAAAAAAGAAGACATGAACATAATAATGGCAAATGCTAATTTACTTGTAACAATAGTGTAGAAAAACCCATAGAAAAAGCGGTTCTTATATTGCACATTAACATTTACATGATGAATGCCATTAAACAGAATAGTACCTTATGCTCCATGTATTCTTATTGTCTAGATCATACTAGTAGTCAAATGTAGTCAATATAGTCAAATGTTTAATACTACAATATTATATTTCTTTAAAATTCGCATGTACATCTTACTTAAACAAAACATAATTAGCTCTATATAACTTCCAATTCCTTGCTGTGATAAAACATTATCATTCAACTTGTTCTTGCACTGGATTGTAAAACCCTAGTAAGTTTTCAGATGAATTGTATTTTCTCAGAATGTTTTGAGTCTTAAACATCAATATATCTATATATCTATATCTATATCTATATATCTATATCTATCTATATCTATCTATCTATCTATCTATCTATCTATCTATCTATCTATCTATATATATATATATATATATATATATATATATAGTATTACTCTTGAAACATTAGTTATGATAGATTCACCATTGCAGCTTACATTCGTTGTTGGTCCCTCTTCATTTTCAGCCACACAGCTTTGTAGATTGAAAGATAAGTCATTGCACTTCACCAGAATTTTCTTCCCAAACTTCTCTTCAAATGGCTTAACTTCAGGCTCAATACCGGAGAAGTCTAGTTTCTTTAAAAGAAACAAACATTGAAAATAACCTTTAAATACTCAACATTATCTAAAAGCTTTGGATTTTTCCCTGCAATCAGTCTTACCTGTGCATCTGGGTCCAGTGCAAAGAGCTTAACCCTGCTTTCATTTTTGAATTTGAATTCAGAATCTCTGCAACTCTACAAAATAAAATGGCATTTTAAAATTAATATTTTTTTTCCTTTTTTTATGGAATTTCCCTAGACTAAATAGATCTCTCAAGAACAGATGTTAAGTCCTCTGTAGGACTAGTGATGATAACAGTATGAGATGATACAGGCCAGTTTGGGTTCTAGAATATTTCTCACAGGTATGGCCAACTGATTTTAGGTTTAAATCTTTCTTCCAAATAATCATCTCTAGGCATATTTCTATGTTCTCTGGATCATTTTAATCATTTAATCAATTAATTCTAACATTTGTCTCATAAACAGCACATTAATATACAAATGTGGAACAAGAAAAAATAAAGAATTGCAAATAAAACCAGTACAGTCACTTTCACATCCACTCCAATTCTCCTGACAGCAATTCCATCCTTTGTTTAATACTTTATACATTCTTCTTTCATCTTAATTCCAATCCCCATTAAAAAAACGTTTCTCTTGATTTCTTTTCTTATTTGTAACCATGTGTGTGTGTATACACATGCACACATGTGTATATATGTATACATATATACATGTGTGTATTTGTTTATAAACACACATATACACAATACTATAGTTAATTTTATGGTAAGAGAAGTTTGATGATTTATAGTAGGAAATGAACAATACATTAAACATACAATAACAGATCTAGTCTGGAGTATAAAAATATGGCAATTCTTTAATATGCTAGTATATTTCATTCTGCATTCTTTTACAAAAATAGAATCTATTTCTGTAAATTCTCCATTTACTTGCTTTTATAGTAAAATATAACCTTTCTGTCCAACTTTATTTCCTGTCTAGAATTATTCTGGTTCAGAAAAAGAAGATGACATTGGTAGAAAAGCCTTCAGTATACCAAGGATGGGATGGCAAATATCTCCTGCAAAGATTTATCTTGAAACAGAACAGATGACCCTGTCACGAGTAGCCAGCTTTAAAAAATGAATGAAGACAGCATCTCCAACACAGAGAAATACAATTGCCAAGCCATTCTGTAGTGCTTGTTTCTACAGAAAATATATACAGTATATATAAAACAGACTGATGCCAAGAAAGGGAGCATAATTCACAAGGGCACTTATATTTTTGAAACCATCCAGAGATTAAACAAAATTAGTCTTACTGTAAATAGCAACAAAAAGTACATGGTTCAGAATACAGGGAGAACAGTACCTAAGAAAAACATAAGCCAAAATAGCTGCTGGATCTCAAGGAAACAGGAAGCTGCATTTGAGGCACCAAGATTAGATATAATAAGCAGGTGTTTTGAATCTCAAGGGACAGTCAAATCTGAATCTCAAGGGACAGTCAAATCCCTTTCTATAGACTTCAACATTTCCTCCTTCACACTGTATTTTTTACTGAATTCAGAAAGAAATATTTTTGAATATATATCATAAGTATGTATTTAGCTTCATGTGCATCAGTGGCTAAAACTATATACTAGTGATGGCTAACTTTTTTGGGCTCCTGTGCCGATTGAAGAAGATCCAGAAGGCAATGCACAAGGGTCCCCCATGTGCACACCCTGCATCTCTGCGCATGCTTGTGTGACCCCCGCGCCCCACTTCTATGCGCATGCGTCTCCCACACACCATGCCCGCCCATGCATGTGCGCCAGGTACCCAACAATCAGCTGGTGGGAAGGCAGCGCGCATGCACAGAAGACCTGCTCTGAGCGAGGGCTCGCATGCCGGCATTAATGGCTCTGCGTGCCATAGGTTCACCATCAGGCTATATACCATACACAACCGTCTAGTCATCCCTATATCATACACAAATCCCATTTTGCTTTTAATGACCATAAAAGACATTTCTAGAATGAAAAGTATGTGACTTCAGTTAATTTAAGTCACATAGACAGCTTGTTGAAAATTGTTTAGTTCCTTTCCTAGTCCTAGAAAAAAATGTTGGCATTTAGTCCCAAAGGGTTTTTTTAAGGCTGTCCTTTATTGATATAAGTGTAATGTCCCAATACATGATAATATTCTATAACACATTATGTCCCAATTCTTACATTGGATTTTGAGATGCAGTACAGATGTTTACCTGATCTAAGCAGAATTTCCAAGGGGCAAGAGCATACAGCACATTGCAAAGAACAATTTCTTAGAAATTTTTTAATTTCTTAAACAGAGAGCTCCAAATAGGAGCAAACTTTCTGGCAAGAATTCATCTGATAGTAACAAATAAAAATAAAACAAATAAGAACTAAAATATTTAGTAAGAAATGGAGATGAAATTCCAGGCAGGTGTCTGCAGAGAGGGGACAATACAAAATAATATGTTCCGTTGTTTCAATTATTCCTCCACCACATGGACACAATCTCTGTTCTAAAGTGATCTTTTGGTACCTCCTTTCAATAACAGCTTGCTTTGAATAAAAAGAGCTAAAGGCATGCAGAATGCTACTCAGAATCCTGCTTAATGTAGTTCTAGGAGCTGAACTCCACATATCGTAAAGTTGGCAAGGTTGAGAAATACTGAACTAAATTAAGAAGGAGAAGCTAAAAGTTTTTAACTATAGATCTGTCTGTTGAAGATATCATTTGTTCAAATCTGATCCTCAAAATACTGTTTTAGTATACCACTCTTAGGGCTAAATCAGACTATTTTGAGTGTAATTTTTCTAAATATAAAACACTATTAAACTTAAAGTCCAATGAAACTATTATCCCATTAATTTCTTATTCTATCAAAGATTAGATCTACTTAAAGATGACTCTGATTACTTTACAATGATCCAAATTAACTTTTTCTCTATATCTGCCTACCAAGAAAATCTAGCTTGAAATTATGAAAAAATGAAAACCCAACTCAAAAAGCATTATTTCTAGCAGTCAGTTTTATTTAACAACTATACTTGAAAAACAAACTTTCCTGGCAAGTATCAACATTCTTTCCTTAGTAAGGTGCATAAACTAGCAATTTTCAAAATCCATTTTAGAATTCATTTAGAAATGAAGCATTCCAAAGAATATGGAATTTCTGCCCTTGATCACGGCAAACATCTTTGGATCCTGCTGTCTCAAGTGGCTGTTTAGTGACATCTTCCATCCTTCAAACCAGAAACAATTTGAGGTGTTCAGAGAGTAGCTTGAACCTTAAACAAAACCTGTTTCATCAAGAATACTATACCCTGGATACCTTAAACCATTTTTAATTTAAAGTATTTAATTCTAGAAATCAACAAACTGCTGCTGGGATAATAGTTTGGTACAGGTCAGAGGGGCAATTTGTACATTCCAGAATATTCTATTTTTGCAGATTCTATTACATACAGTCATTGAATTTCATACTTTAAAAGAAAAGAAAAACGCACAATACCTTCGCAACTTCAGGAAGGTAAGCATCTAAACCAGATGAGCTGTCTATCCTGTTTTGTTCATCTTCTGGAAATTAAAAAAAAGTTATAGAAGTCCATTGATCACTATAGAAAAATATTACAACCAAGAATCTCACAAGCTTTCAAAAGTCTGGAAATTGGTAATCTTTCACACTATTCAGGAACAAAATTCAAATGGGCAATTTTCTCTTTTCTGTTTGATGTTGGACTGTATCTAATTTGTCACCATCACAGCAGCATTCTGGTACTTGTAAGAAGAGCCACCAATTGATTCTTAAGAATCACAGCAGCCTGATTTGTAAAAACTATAAATGAGATTCATCGTGGACATATTATTTATTTATTTATAAATGTGTCTTGTTTTTGTTAATACATATCTGTACAGGTTACCAAAAACCTCCACCTCCAGCGAAAAGAGGAAAGTAATGTATAAACTCCCTTTTTACAACCCTACAATCCCGAGGTGCTATTCAGCAGGTTCTGACCAATTCTGGAGAACCGGTAGTGAAAATTTTGAGTACTTCGGAGAACCGGCAAATACCACCTCTGACTGGAGATTTTACAGTATCCTTCCCTTGCCACGCCCACCAAGCCATGGCCACAGAACCGGTAGTAAAAAAAAATTGAATCCCACCACTGCTACAGTCCCTATTTGGGATAGAATCAGGGCGACTAGATTTGACATTTACTGGCCAGATACCCTTCTGAGCCTACATGGAGTTCAGAGCAGATTTTTTTTTCTTTGTTCCCTTGGAGAGAAATATCTGCTGCTACCTTGGATTGAACTCTCAACTTCCAAGTGGAAGGTGAGCATCTTCACCATTAGGCTATCATGCTGCTGTTTGAAAATTACTTATACCCAATTATTAATTATAGAGAAAAACCTTTCTTTTACTGAATAGCCTGAAAGTAACTTGAAAATAAGCATTTACCCTCATGGGACTCCTCATATCTCTTTTCTTGCATTGCTGCTTCAAAATTTAATTGAAGAATTTTGTTTAGAGTTGTAATCCATTCTTCCATTTCTGCTTCACTGTCTGCCGCAAGGAGATAGCTACTCTTGTCCTGCATCTTGAGCTCAAAGGCAAAACGTCGGACTTTATTGTTCTGCAATATAATGAAAAAATATTAATCTAGCGGCTGCAGCAGATTTTCTTTTTCTCCATCACCCCTAATTTTGCATTGCTAAAAAGAAACTACCACTTTTAGGCCTAAAATAGTAAACTGTTCACTCTCAATGTTTGAATGAATAATGGATAGACTGAACAATATGATTTATTGTGGGCAGGGTTTAACTTCTTGTGTAAAAATCTGTTGTTTTCTGTATTTCTATTCTAATGTATATTGTGAAGGGGTTATGTGTGTGTATGTGTGTTTATGCTTTATTGAGATTTTCTTTTACTTTACTATTTTCATTGATTTTTCTCCTTTTGAGAGGTAGGAGAAAGAAAAAGTGAGACAGTGGCTTTTTATAATATCTGTCCAGTTTATAGAAATAATTTTTAAGATTAAATATAATAAAATTATACATATACAAAAACCCATTCAAGTATTAAGAACCAAATACTTCCCAAATGACAACTTGTCTATTTAGCTCAATTTAGCAATATTAGAACTTCTTTTATATGGCCAAAAAAGAGAAAGAAGTCAAAACAGGTCAGATAATTAATAATAATTTGGGAGTTCTATAGATTTATTCTGAACATATTGATTACAAGAAATCGTGCTACTGTGAATGAAGACTATGAAAAAAGCATTCAATTTTAGGAGTTGTGATAAAAAACAAAAACTAAAATATTTTCCATCTAAAGTTCTAGTTTTTCTAATTAACCCATGGGCAAGTTTCCCAAAATATTCTGCCTAAGAAGTATTTTTAATTTATATAATAATGTGGAAGACCAGTAATGAAGGATGAGAAGAACGTTGTTTGCCAGAAAATGTAAGATATAATACTGAAGGTTTCAGCTTCTATTTTGCCCTGATTTTTGAAGAACTTTGGCATTTTGGTTATTAGCTTAAAATTATAATTAACAAAATTCACACAAGAAATATTTCCAAGGGAAAAAATGCACATACTGATTGTGTTCACATGCAATACTAAATTATGGTTTAGCACTTATAAGCAGAATACCCTGAATAATGATGGATCATATTCTTATTTTCTTCTTGCAGACTTCAACAGCACTGGAGTTCAATGTTTTCAGTGAACATTGATGAACACTAAAACCTGCTGTTGAGTTTTTAAGTTGTCTGCTGGCTGTAGTACTGTAATTCAAGATTCTGTAATAGTGAAAATGAACTCTTCTGAACTATTCTCCCAAATGTGCCCAAGGGAGAAATGGAGAATGCATGATCATGAAGTTTTATTCAAGCTTACTTGCTTCTAAACATAATGTTCAACCAGGGTTTAGTGTTACATGAACCAGATTACTGCAACAATATTATATTAAACAGAGGGGGAAAATCTGAAGGCAATTAATAAGAGTGCATAATTCCAGGTTTGTTACATCAGAATAAGTTCCCAGCATTCTCTATGTATAGCGCGCAAATGAAAAATAGCACTATTTTTGTTCTTTCTGGTGAGAAGATACTTTTTCAGTCTGTGTCAGTATTTTTCAAACTTGGCAACCCACTAGATGCTCACAAAGATAAATTTCATAGCAACAATATGGTGTAGTAGCCCCAGTTCCTGAATATCTTATTTCAAAAAACACATGATTTTAGGTTTATTAATTCAACACTTAAACTGGAACTGTGTTATTATTATTAAGCTCTTCTGAAAACACAGTCTTTTATAATACTAGCTCACTAAAAACATAAAGCCACTGTAATAAAAAAAATATTTCTATCACCCAGAGGCCCAATAGTGCAATTCTAGTAAATTTATTCAAAAATAATCCCTGTTGCATTTAATGAATTTACACTCTATACAAGTAAATAAGCATAAAGGTGTCATTCCAAAGCACTAGAAGAAATACTATAGGTTTCTGCAAGAATTGCACATCATATCAAGCAGTATAATTCTCTACTTACTTGAACAACGCCCATGCAAGAATCCAAAAAAATTGAGCCTTTTGGTTCTTTTGATATTTTTTCATCTTTGTAGAAATTAAGATTATATGATCCATCACCAAGTTGAAGGAGATGAAAAAATCTTCTTTTAAATGACTAATTTGTGAAAAATTAAATTATATTAAAAACAAAAGCAATGCGACATAGAAGACCAAAAGCATCTCTTTAATTGTACCCACAACACTGCAAATCTTTTTATACATTAAGAAATATTACTGAGATCACAGTCAATATGCATTTGTACATTATACAGCATCACAGTATTTTACAAGTAGACAAAAATTATACATACCCGCATAGTAACACTGATTGCACTGTTCATGTTCCCTTTGTATAACCATCCTTGTTTTGTAAGTCCACCCTTTTGAGATCCTAGAGATGCAGCATCCTATTAAAAAATAAAATTCACATAAACGCATGAGTAAAACATTTAAAATATTTTTTCAAGTCTGTAAAGAAATAAAATAACTAATAAACAAGTGCTTTGATCTAACTTTAATATGAAGAAACGTTCCCTATGCTATAAGACTATTGAGCATAACTCAATGTTGCCAATAGAAGAGAAACACAGTATTGTAACATTCATTATGGTTTCCCATCCGTTGTTCAATATTAGATCATAAAAGTTAAAGTAAATTCTAAAAATACAGCTAAATCTCACTAATGAAATGAATAAACCAACATTTATTGTTAGGTTAAAACATAGCAAAGAATTGAGTTAAGAACAGTATTCAGCAATTTTGTAGGGGATTTCAGAATGTTTTATATCTTTTAGGAAAAAGTCTAAATACCTTGATCAGAACAGCCAGGCAATCACTCTATTAAGGACTGGATTCGCTGGGATTAATGTTCCTGTCCAGTCTATTAGGATGTCTCATTTGTTATAGGGCCCTTTGGAACAGCAATTTAATCCTCCCCAGATTAAATTGTCCTAATGCTGTTGGCCTTTCACAAGGCTTCAGATATGGTTTTGTCACTGAGCACGGAGGTTCAGATACGATACATGATAGAGCCTATACAACAGTTTGATTTGCTTGTTGTAGGGGTTTTTTTTTAACCTCAGCTACTCATTAAATGGGTACTATTGTCTTTTTTTGTTATATGTTTATTGTGCTTTTAACTGTTGTTAGCTGCCCAGATGCATGAAACTCGGATGGGTGGGCGTAAATTGAAATTAGAAACACATAAATCAAATATTAGCTTGACAATAAAAAAGTACGTAGAAGAAGCTAAAAAAACTCTCCTAGAGATAAATCTGTAACTTGGAACTGGTTTCTAAACAAAGTTATAAGTTCTTGTAAATCAGCATAAGCAAAGACCACACTAATAAACTATTAATTTCTAGAGAGTTGGAAGAAGCAAGGAAATGTACTATTTCTAAAAAAACTAAGGAAACTAGATTCTTAAGGGGAGGGAAGGAAGAAGAAAGGAACTATAAATAAATAGCAGATGGTATTAGAGAGAATAATCTTTCTTAAAAATATAGTAATAATTTTAATCTTTTTCACAATCTTTGCTATATAAATCCATCTGTTCCTGTTTTTTCCAAGGAGTATGAATTAATATATTTCTGAGTGTTTTAATAATTCTTAAATTCTTGCTTTTGTGCCAGCAACATATATACATTCATAGTAGCTTTCAAAGATAAGGTAATCTATGGTGTGTGTATTTTAAATTTAAATATTTTAATGTTGCATACCATCTGGAAATTCACAGAATTATAAGGTGGTTTTAAAATAATAAACAGAATACATAAGGAGCAATCATGCACTTCCATCTAGAGTACAAACTATTTAAAATTCCTATGCCTCATACAGATCACTGGGGCAAAGTAATATATTATTCAATATATTTTAAAGATTTCAGGATAAAGTTACTTCTTATTAAACATAACATTTTGTTACTCCCAAAGGGCCTATTGATCATAACATCAACTTAAAAATGAACTGAAGTCAACTAATAAAAAAATAGACTTGCCTCATCCTTATCAGCTTCTTCATCAACTTCAAAAACATGAACTGGAAGCTTTTCTAATCTGTTCCCTTTGCTAAAAAAAAAGATACCATAACACACAATAATTATTATAATATTCCATACTGTAACAACTTGCCAGCATGTGAAAGTATGATTAAAATATACAGTACATGAGAGGCTCTATTATTACCTGTATGAAGGTAATAAAAGTTTCCATTTGGCTTTTTTTCTTACTTTTGTATCTTGAATGCAAATATAGCTAAGATTTGCAAACAATTTCAAATTTGTTTTACAAATGTACAGAAAATCATTTAAAAGCCTGCTAAGCTAATTGTTGACATACTTGCTATAATCTATCAATATTAAATTTTTACCTGCTTAAAATGAGGACTTAAAACATATTATTTCTTCATTGAACTGACATTCTGCCTTTATAGGAAAATGGTTAACGCAGCCACATACATTTCTGCAGCTATCTGTATACAGTACTGATAGTATTCTTCAATTTTAAAAAATAATGATCAATTATAAATAAGCAGCATGGCTCTTGCTTCCCCCAAAACCATGAAAAAACAAACTAAATGCTCTTTCCATGTTATTTTTGTGAAACCCATATTGCAGGACTGAATCATCCTAAGAAATAAAACCTGGAAACCAGGAAAAAAACATGTTTCCAAATCTGGCATGTTAGAATTGAAATGGAAGTAATTTTCAAGAATCTACCACATTAAATATTAAAAGTTAACAACAAGCATTAGTAAGCATTAATATAAAGCTTAAGACAAAAATTACTTACTTTGGAAGCTGCCGAAAGTCTCCTGAGTAATCTTCATATTTGAAATTGACAACATGCCAGTCAGAGATGTATGTCTTAATGCACTTTAAATCAGGACAAAAATTAAACTTTAGGTCACTTCTTTATGCAACAATACATTTATCTTAATAATTTGAGCACTTGTTCCAATCGCACTGCTATATTTATACTAATTAAGAAAAAAGGAATTTTCATTACAAAAAGTGGACAGGATTTTTGTCAATCTTAATCCATCTGTCTCTTAGATCCGTGCCTCTCCTAGCTGGTCAAGGCTGCCTAGGATAGATGTTTGATTGGGTGAGTGGTAAACTCTTCCTTGAGGGAGGGGGAATCCCTCCACCTCTAAAGAAAGTGGTGGAGCATCCCCTTCTCAAGAGACCATTGCTTGGCCTGGCCAATCTGGACAACATCCAGTCTCCAACCTTTCCTTTTTAGGGAAGATCCTGGAGAGGAGGTGGTGGTCACACTTCAGGTTCAAAGGACTCTGGATGAAACAGATTAATGGACCCCCTTCAATCAGGATTCAGGCCAAGGTAAGGAAAAGAGACAGCATTGACTGTGATCTTGGATGGCCTTGGGGTGAGGTGGGGGAAGGAGGATGGGGAGGATTCTTGTTCTTCTTGACCTCTCAGTGGTTTCCAATGCCATTTTCATAGCATCCATGATGAACTCCTATTGCACCCCTTCACCATTTGTTTGGAGTGACCAAAATTGAAAGTTTATGGCTTTTTTTTCTCTTATTAGTTAAGGTTATTTTTCCCCCATTGTGGCTTAATTCCTGTTATTTTAAGCCAGTACTTTGATTCCTCTTAGGGTAGGAATTGCTAGATTTCTCACTTAATATAACCCTGATGGTGGGATATGAAGATGCAGAGGCATCCTTTATATAGCATGCCAGGGATCTGGAATCAGACTTGGCTGCCATACTTGGAGGTGTGTTCCTGGGCAGTTATTCAACTGTTCTCAATCCAGGTTGATTTCTAAGCCAAATAACAGCTCCCAAATTTCAGAACAGCCCTAATTCTGGCAAGATTTAATGCCCTCCCAGGAGCTATTCTTAGGGGGAATCTCATCCCATTTGAATAAACACTTTGTCCCTGTATTGAAGGAGTTCTGAATCACTAACCCATATTACTATATTTTTACATTGCTCCTATTACAAAGATATCCACTTGCAGCTAACAGTAGTCCATTTAGCTAGATTGTCAGGTCCTCCAGGTCCATTTTATTTATGGTTATTATCGATCTACTGTGATTTTATTTCTCTTAACTTGGCTAAGTGTTGTTTTACTATTTGAAAAATATCCTAAACTTTAACTTCTCCAGTATTGTACATGTCTTATTGTGGTTTTTATTTGCTATCTTGCTATTTGTTTTCCTTTTCTTTGTTCTTTGGAGCTGGTCATCAACTGCAATTTATACTGACTGTTTCCTATTATGATTTGATTGCCTATTTGTACCCTATGCCTATATTAAGTGTTGTACTTTATGATTCTTGACGAATGGGTCTCTTCTTTTTATGTACACTGAGAGCATATGCACCAAGACAAATTCCTTGTGTGTCTAATCAACACTTGGTCAATAAAAAATTCATTCATTCATTCAATAAAGTACAACTTCTTCTACTTTTATGATGAATGACAAAAAAACTCTTTACTCCTATTAAAGTTGGAAACAACATATCTGGAGAGTTATTTTGGCACTCAATTTCCTAAAACATAATGGAGATGTTTTCTAAGAAACAGAGTATCTTATAGAAAGGGGAATTGTACTGCAATCTCCCTATAGGTCTGTACTACTGTATGAATGAATAAGAGGTCTTCCAGAATGATTTAAAGAAACATAATTGTGAACTGACAGCAATAAATGACCGCAGAAACCGACTTGCTGAACCATCTAGCGATTTAATTGGACTGAATTTAGAATGAAGAGGCGACTGGATTCGGATTGATACAGATATATCATGTGAGGTTTCAAAATGTACTCTCCAAGAGGAATTTAAAAGAGGAAAATCTCCACTTCTACCGTCCAGAATCTCTCTCGCTTAAACACAAAGAGTCAAAGTGAATGCTCAGGTTCAAGATGTAACTATTTTGTGCTATATTTATTAAATAAACAAAGCATTATTTTCTTTTCCCCTTTCTTTGTTCCTGAAATACTAAGTAACAAAGTAAAGCATACTATTCAGAATGTTGAAACAGCCTATTTCTTAAATAGCCAGCACACTCCAAGCAGCTAGGTTGGAAGGAAATTTTACAAAACTCCAAACAGCTTCTAAAGTCTTACTGAATAGTACTTCGAGATTGCTACTCTAGCCAGCTGGAGCTCTGAGTAAAGGGTGGAGATGAATCGGAACACTTTATTGTTGTTTTGACTGGTTACAATAACAAAGCAAATTGTAATATAGACTTAAGTAACTAGGCATACCACCTCTGGACTGCAAAAATCCAGATGAGCGCCAGATGTCTATGAGATCTAAGAAACCTGATGCCATCTAATGACTATAGATTTTTATAGCCCAGAAGTGGCGCATGTTAGAAAGATACAAAAAAAAAATACCTCTGTTACAAATAAGCTGTAAGCTTCTTTCTCTGCTTTCTCTGGAATTGTAGAACATACATACTGGTGTTGGCGTTTCAGTACTGCAGTCTTTAATGAAAAAAATACAGTCAGTAAGAACTTTATTCACAGGAGTGGGTTCTAATGTGTAAAAAAGGTAACCAGAAAATTTCTGCTAATTAGCACACCCCTTAATAAAAACTACTAAGTGACTCTAGGCCCATCATTCTCTTTCAGCCCAATTTCACATCAAAGGATCGCAATTATGAGGAAAACAGGAGGAAAAGGGAGTGTTTGGTATATTTCCTGCCTTGAGTTATTTATAAAAATAATAAAGGTGGAATAAAAAATTGAGTTAAAAAAATTAGTTGAAAGGCAAGCCTAGAGCTGGACACATGGTATTAGATCATGCTCTGATTTGTCGTATCTAGTAGGGAAAATATACTTCTAGACCAGAGTTTGCTAAAATCTTCAAATATTGTGGTTTGATTACAATAGAGATGCATCATCCATACCTATTGTCCTAAAAGTATTCTCAGCTAGAGTACACTTCCTTCACTTCTTCAAGTCATTATTAAAATTTTGAAATTTTGCTCCAGTGTGATGACATCCATGGAAATCCTCAGAATTCTTCAACTACATTCTTTTTAAATTAATGTCCTATAGCCATACATGTATTTATTTAACTTATAATCAGCATGTCACAACTACTTTTGTCAAATGCTTTGTTGAGATCAAGGTCTATTAATCCTACCTCACTTCCATATTCTAACGAACAAAGCAATCTGATCAAAGTCCAAGATAAAGTTAATTTGGAAACAATTGTTCATGCTGGCAATTACCACACTGTTTTTGAAATCTGCTCACTTGCTTTATAATCTGCTCTAGAATCTTTCCAGGTATTGATGTCAGGCAGATGGAACTCTTAATTCCTCAGATTCCCTCCTTATTGTTTCTAAAGATAAGAACATTTGCATTCTCCAGGATTTCCTAAATATAATGCACAAAGGTTTATCGAGAAATCAGCTAAAGCCTAGGAAGTAATTCTTCTGCCCTGGACATTTAAAATCAGTATTTCTGAGTAGATTTTTAATAGTTTTATCTTTAATCCTATTTTCCTCATTGTTGTCATGATTTCCTCATGGAACTAAATATTCTATTGGAGAAAAGGGAACTAATATAGAAATAAATTTTGTCTTGTAGCATTTTGCAGTAATAGGTATACGGAATCCCTTTTTTGTCTTTTAACACCTTTCAGCATCTTCAGTGCATTTTCAGTTTTTGCCTTCCTGACATCCCTGTTTCAGTTCTGGTCTACTGCATGTATTTGTTTTGGCGACCAGGTTTTCTTTCCGTTTTCTTTGCACACATTTTTTTAAAAAATCAGAAAATTTTATTTCCTAAACTTCCTATGTGATTTTTAAAAATATTTTGCAAATGGTGATAGTGCAGGTTGCCATTTTATGTCGTACTTAAGTATGTGCGTATTTTCTGAGTTTTCAATTCATTCCAATATTTTCAAAAGAAAGCATGAAAGCATGCCATCAATTTATTCAACAGATATTATTGCATGTTTTTGCAGCAATTAATTTATTGTATACTTCCCAATCAGAATCTCCTAGTTGGATTCCAATAATACCATTGGTCATACATCACTTGTAAATTTAAAACTATCAGATTATAAATGCAAAGTTACTGCAAAGATACTGCTATTATGAATAGCTCAGTGTTGATTCTAAAGCTTTATTGGACAACCTGTGGCCCGTTTGGTTAACATTTCAGATATATATTTCCTTAACTAAATAAACAGAATGACCGCAGGTGGACAAAAAAAGAGTGGGAGTAGGAATCTTCCGATTTCCTGCTAGCAACCCCATTGATTTTCTTTGTGGGAAGCTGGCAGGGAGTGTTGGAAATAACAGCTGACTGCGGGCGACCATAGTGGCACAGCAGTGCTGGAGCATCCACAACTTCACCAAATTACAGTCTCATGGCAGTAATGGATCCTAGATGTTGGATGCGTTCTTTATGTTAGCTCATTTGTAGTACATTGATTCAAAAATTATTGCCTTATGATATATCATTTTGGCTAACAAACATTTTATAGTAATACTAGCTCGATACCCATGCTTTGCTATGAAACTATGTGGCCCGGCTTAGTTTTTGGGGAGGAAAATAAGGGGGGGGGGAATTCTGCCTCTGCCTATCAGCATCCATCAGTATTCATCTGGGTAGCATCCTGTCAGTGTGTGAGAGCTGAGGGCTGTTTGGAAACTGAAACAGTATTTGTTGTGTGAGCAAGAAGGAAACAGCAAGGAGCCTGGGCGTGGCTTAGCTAAACTATTCTATACTAAAGCTGCTTGGTGCTGTGAAACTGAAACTGAAACTCCTCTCCTCTGCTGGTGTTTTGCATTTGAAACAGATTTCTTTTCAGGTGAGGAGGGGGAGTAGAACTCCTTAGCATCAGAGCGTGTTAATAATAATATATGGAATAGTAATGCTCTGATGTCATTTTGAAAAATCCTTTCTTAGTGAGCACCTAGAAGCCAAGAGGAACACACATGTCAAAGCTCAAGTTTGTAGCTTTACAGTTCTGGAGATTTTGTGATGATGCTTGAGTTGTATTTCACTTTTATATAGAGAGAAGATTGCTTGTTCTGAGAAGTATATTTTACATATACTTGTAGTCCATGCTTAATAATCATTGGTTTAGCCACTGTTTGAAGCTCCAAAGTTGCTGAAAAAAGTAACTTATGATCAGTGCTTGTACTTACATACACATGATTATCATGTGCGCCTTCCCAGATGTCTTCCAACAACCAAAGCCAATGGGGAAATCGACAGAAGGTTGCAAGTAATGCTTACATGATTTCTCACTTAATGACTGTAGGTAGTTTGCTTAAGAACTGTAACTGGGATTGTTGGAGCTGCTGCTGCTAAATAGGACAGGCAAGTGTTGTCTCATTTAACAACCACTTTGCTTAGCAATGGAGTTGCCAATCCCAAGGTACCTTTCATTACTAATAATATTACTACAATAAAAAGTATGCAGAATGTAGATATATAGAAATCTTCTTAGCTATAGCTGCCCAGAGTAATTTGGGAGTTGGGCAGCATATTATTATTATTATTATCATCATCATCATCATCATCATCATCATCATCATCATCATCATTTTTAAATATTCCGTAGCATGATTGTGATGTGATGTTTGGGGCACAGTGCTGGAGTAGCTTTCAAATTTCAGTGTATTTGTAGAATGCAATGACAATAAAGGTATTCTATTCTATTCTATATAAATTACATGGACGATTATTTTGAGATCATAGAGGGTTTTTTTTCTCTAAAGGAATCTAGGGCTGTTTTCATATGACGGCTTTTGTATTACCATCTTTTTTTTTCACTTAACGAATTTGATGCAAAAATAGAAGGAAAGATTAGAAAACAGAGAATTATAAATGGAACATTACAAGATCCCTTCCTTCCCACTATTCCCCATCTCTGAAATACTGCATGAAGGAGGTAGAGACAATTCATAGTAACACCCAAATCTAGAAGTAACTTAAGACATTAAATCTGTATTAGACGTCAATGTTCTGGTAATAAATTCCAAGATGTTTAACTTTTAAAGTACATATGCACTTCCTATTGTTTATAGTCACACCTGTTTCCTGCATTTGATGTGGTTCCTTCTATAAATGTTCAACATATTTCATATTGGATCTACTAAATATAGTTTTCTCCAAACACACAAGTAAATAGTTCAATTCCTTTTAAAGAGGAACGGGGTTCTTTAAAATACGAATTTTTTAGGCAAAACTAGTCAGATATAAAAATAAAAACTTTAACTCTACAATAAACCTGTTTTTTTTTAAAAAAGTGTTTCCAATTTCACTTTTTTTCAAAGGCTGAGAACAAATATAATCGAGGATGTATATCAAACTATGCATGCCACATAATTTGAGTTGAGCAGCCACATAAATGTATCAATTAATCATCATTAATGTTACATTATTTTATTCTGAAAATGATCTTTCCAAATAGAACAGGTAAAAAAATGATATTCCAAATAGCATTTCAGATTTTAAATTGTACCATATCAACACATTTTGAGAATGCCATTCTAGAAAAACTACTCTTTTTTTAATGAAGTAACTTCATTAAAAATTACAGTTAGAACAAAACTAACACCAAGTTGGAAAAAAAGTGCAGAAAAGAAAAAAAGAAGGAAAAATAGAAAAAATAGAAAAATAACAGTTAAAAAGAAAATTTATATAAAGCAATGACTTCGTCCTTCAACATAAGTACAATTTTAGTATCACATTCTCTTAAAATACAGCAAATGACATCATCTTCCCATAGCTGATCTCCATCTATAAACAAATCCTTAAAGTATTATCCTTTCAGTCCAAGGTATTTTTCCAAAAGGCAACTGGACTTTCAAGGTTTTTTCCCTTGAAAACATTTCACTTCTCATCCAAGAAACTTCTTCAGTTCTGCTTTTTAGATAAGAAGCAAAATGTTTTCAAGGGGGGAAAAGAACAAGAATGTCCAGTTCTCTTTTGGAAAAGTAATTTTGGGACAACTATGATGCAGATCATTGAGAGTCTCCATAGATATTCAGTCCTAGCATAGCAAAAGTGCATTGAAGTTTATCAAAAGTAATATATGTATTTTAATCTTGATTAAATAAACCAACTTTATATTCCTTCCTAGCACATCTAACAATCTGGACCTTTAGCTATTCAAATAAATGTCTTTTTTTTTGGTCTATTCTTACAAAATTCTTCAAAGCTTTAACAGTGTTCTTTTATGAATCTAATATAAGAAAATTTCCCAGGTTCTTTTTCTATATCTGTATATTTGTATATCGTTTAATCCTTAAAATGTAGGCCAGTATCCAGTGTGTTATTTTTTTCCATGTCGTTCTTATAGCCAGTCACTTTTTAATCCACTTCCAAATCAGTCTCAATTTTGTAATATAAAACTTGCCCTCTTCCATAACATCCTTTAGAGTCTATCTACAGAGGCAGAAACTCTTAAAATTAACTTTTGGATACACTGTTCAAAATCACTCCTTTATTGTTCATTCCACAAAACATAAATCCTTAATCTTGGATTTAAAAGTTCTTTCACTGTGGATTCAAGAAAATTCATCTGGTGCTATAAAACCTGTTACTCCAAATGTTTCTAATAAAGGCAGTTAACAAGCAATTTCTGAAAGTGATTAGAAAACAAAATACGTGAACCCAGTGTTCTTTCAAAGGCAAAGACTGCAGTTTGAGCAAGATCTTTATTCCCTCATCTCCCAGAGCTCTAAACCTGCTGGAGACAATTTTGGGGGTATTCCTCACAAGAAGCAATTGTCTGGAGCATTTGCTGGTGATCTGAAGTACTCTCCTTGTCCAGGGAGGTATTATAAAAGAGCTGGTCGACTACTCAGTAGCTCTTCATTCTGTTGTATTTGTCAGATCTGCTTTTTGCAGAACTGTCTTCAGTCTGCCAATTCTTATCCTCATACTACTATTGGCAGATCTATAAATTCCTATCTCTCACTGCCTATATTGTTTGATTATGTATTGCTATTTATTCTACTGCTACTTCAGACAGTTTCTAAAATATTTTAATCGCATTGTTCAAACTTCTTAATCATTTTCCCTCAACATAGCAAGAATGATGGTCATTTATAACATCATTTTTAAAATGACTAAATATCAATTCACCCAATTACTTTTTCTACTAACAACATGATTTTGAAGACGACTGTTATCATCTTGGCCTACAACTCTACAAGGAACAGATTCTTCAAGTTATACAAAATGACCATTTGTTCATCTATTCAAGCAGTGACATATAGTTCGACATTGTTATACTGATATGACATCTTTGGTACTTCAGTCATTATATTTATTCAGGTAGGTTCTCTGCCTGAAGCAGTGACACCATATTTGTATTGTGTCCTGCTTCAGGTTTCAGCCACAAACCAATATGTAGTTTTTTGGGGGGAGATTGTCAGTTTTATTTTCAAGCAACAGTACTGTAGCAAGCAATATCAAACACCACAAAGGTTTGACTGTGAAGTTTGTTTTCAAAGAGGAGCATGCAGAAGAGTTATCTAAAGTTTCAGGAATCTGTCCAAGTTGTAAGTTAGTCCAAGCATCTAATGTCCAAGAGTAGAATTCACACACAGGAGTCATGCATGAGCCAGGTATTGTTTCCAGCAAAGAGATAAATCATGTCTTTTTAATAGGCTGCAGCCAGCTGTCACTAATTAGAATGTTTACTCCATTGCTTGGCAAGTAACCTAACAGACTTACTTTTCTCTATCTCTTGTCCACTTATCTACTGCAAGGACTGGGAGACCTTATGTCATCATCACCTGACAAGTCCAGCTGTTCAAGTAGTGCTTGTGATTGATCGGCCTCATGCAATGTCTGGCTCTGTCCCTCCTGAGGCTGACATTCCATACATTTAGATGCAGCAGCTTCTTCAACTTCAACAGATTCAGAATCTGAATGCAGAGTCTGGGTCATGACATATTACATATCAACAAATCTTTTAAAGGTTCAGTTAGGTCCAAGATTTTTCCATGATTCATCTCTCCAGCTCATGGGTAGTCAACTTCAAATATTTGAAGCTTTTCCACTTCTGATTTTCTTAGGTTGCACACCTCACATTCTCTGCTGGCTCAGAATCTGCTTAGATGAGTAAAACTAGTTTCACAAGCCTTGGATCTTTTTGTCTTGTTAATTTTTCAGGCCAACTAATCTCTTTGGACACTCTTTGTGGCTAATAATCACAATGTTATAAACAAATTGGAGTTGACCTTCAAAACTGTGATTAACAATGAAAAATCAGATCTATATCAGAATATACAACAAAGCCAACATAGATCTATAGACAAATATGATCATTCTTCCCGGGTGGGGGGACGGGGGATGGGACAGCACTAGAAAAATGAGCAACAAATACACTTATCCATCCACTGTTAAGCTATCTGTTTCTAAAGGCTGTCTTTAATAGCTGTGTTTCCACATCACTTAAAAACTCACAAGTGACTTTGGGTTAATTCTCTGAAGAGATGATTGGATTTCCAAAACTGAGAAGGTATATAAAGTGAGTCATATCAGGTGATCTAGTCCTATCCTGTTTAAGACTTTAAAAGAAATAATCAACAATCAAGTTAAGCTCAAAAATAGAAAGATAACAATACTTCACCATTAACTACAGATTATGAGCAGTGATCTAACAAACCCCTTGAAATTTACTTAGACTTGATTCATTGTTTCATTTATTTATGATGTACCTAAACCACATAGCTGTACAATATTAGAAACTGGTAGATCAGCTACACTGTATGAACTATTTTCTTTCAAGCCTTAGTATTATAGTATTGTATAATAAATTTATACAATATAATTCAACATTCATAAAATTCAACATTCATAAAAAATAAAAAGTACCTGGAAATCATCATATGGAAAAAGTAGCAGCTCACGCAAGCCATCGTTGATTATTTGAGTTTTCTTCTGAACAATTATATTTTCATAGTCTATTGGCTCTATTACCTTTGGTTTTGCCTGAAAAGGGGAAAAATTTTTGATGAATAGAGATTTTTATACTTATACCCATATATATTTTAAAATGCCATACATATCCATAAACCTATGCAATATAATCTCACTATGACTACTCAAAATTAAATACCATTATTTACACTGGATTTATTCCCTAGTTAAGAGTGTACAGAATTACTGTTTTTATCAAGAAAGGTTTTGAACTTAAAATTATGTGTTAAAATTATATATGGAAAAATAAGCATTATGTTACATATTAAGATATGTAGTTCAACTCTGTCTAAAGAAACAAATGCAATTGATTTTTAATCAGCCCATAGTCTTAACATTAATTGATATCAGTTTCCCTGGTCATTGTATTTTAATCAATTAGCTAATTTATTTTGCAATAACTGATTCAGAACTGTTAAGTGCAGCGTTGGGAGCTTTTAAATTCACGACCTGACCTTTTTTGCTTTCAGACAATCCAGCCAAGGGAAATGTGCCTTTATGGAATGAAGGCTGAGCAAAAACTGGGGACACTAAGGAGGAGCCTCAAGGAGGAGTGTCCTCAGAAATCAGCTCAGCCTATCGGATCAGAGAAGGAAGCACCTCCCATGCCTGGATACTCTGAACAGCTCATCTGGAGAACTATATGTAAACCACATCTTAACATTCTAATGTTCCTTTTTAAGATAGAAAATATGTGGTATAGGGAGTGGTATTTAGACTGGATTTTGCCTTTTTATCCACCTATTGAGTCCTTTCCAAGGACCTTATTATTATTTTAAATTCATTGGCTGCCCATTGCCTCAGAGTGTCATATAACCTAAGGGGGAAAAAATGTAAAAATTGCTAAAAACATACAGATAACCCAGAGTTAAATTATCTAGTACAGTGGTCCCCAACCTTTTTTGTGCCACGGCCACCATCACATGACATGGCAAGGTGAGCCGAGCAACCCTAAAGCAAGAGCCCTCTTTTTCGGCTTCATTTGTTCAACTAGAACCCATCCAACAAAGTGGAAAACTTGTCCTTCCACTAAATCCGAATTAAATTTGTTTTCGCTCAGTTTTTTTTTTTTTAACAGCGGCACCCCATCTGACCCCCCCCACCTCACAGCGCTTACCCACCCGCTTGCCTTGCAAGGAAAAGATTCTCCTGCAGAAGCGGCGCAACCGACTCCCTGATATCCTCCTACATGGCCGTTTGAATTTAATCTCGCGCCTGGAGGTCACATGAGTGACACGGCCCTGCCCGATTAGTGCAGCCGGGAGCTTGAAATTAGTCAATCAGGAAGCAACAAAATGTTACTCGGCTTACTCTTTCTGTCCAGGGCTCAGCAGCCTGTGTGGTTCTTTTGAAAAATGCATGCCGGCTGTTACCATTCCCCGCCCCGCCACACTTTCCTCAGGGCTAACCGCCCAGATTGGCTATTTTTTGCATATAAAGTTTTGCATCTTCCTATACCCTGGTCCTACCTCTCTCTTTTTTTTTTGTTCTGTAATTTGTGAGTGCCTTTTGGGGGGAACGAATGCCTGCTGTAGCGGAACTTTATGCAGTTCATATTTCATATTTTCATTTTGGGGAAAGGAAAGAAGAAAAATTGGAGTCTTTAAAAAAAACTTTCTCATCAAAACAAGATAGAGATGCCCAGCAAACCAGCGGCCCGGTAAAAAATGTTCCACGGACTGGTACCGATCCGGGGACCGGTGGTTGGTACCCTGATCTAGACCGGTGGTTGGACCCCTGATCTAGTAAACAACAAAATCAACAAACTAAAACAAGGTCCATTAAACAAATAATAAACATTTTCCCAGGCCTGAGACCAAAAATTTTCAAAGTTTTTTGAAACTGTAGGAGAGAGGGTGCTGTCCTTAACCCGGGTGGAATGGGGCAGAGAGGGAATGCTGTTCTGGGGGCCAACAACAGGTTAGGTTTCTAGATCCTACAAGATGGAAATGTTTAATGAGGTGGACTTGGAGCACGGCCATTCTGCTAGAATGCACTGAATGGACAGGAGCTATTGGGAGACAATCAATATCCCAGAAAGCCAGGCTCTGTGTCATACTCAAGTTCTTATGTTCAAGAGAAACTGAATAAACTCTACTTCACAATTCTAAACCAAAGGATTCAGGGAGATAGTTTAGTTTAGTTTATTGTCATTGCACCTCGTACAACGAAATCAAACACCATCTTCAGTGTACATCATGACCATGAAAATAAACACAAACACAAATCCTTCACACTCCACACTTTGAACCGAAAACCCGCAACACCTCACCAACACTGCACTATACAGTAGAATTCAAAAGAGCTACTGCCCTGGAATGGAAGCTGTTTTTCAGCCTATTTGTGCTTGTAGGTGTGACTGTACTTGACATATGAGTTCAAATATAATCTTGCATCTTCCATATTTAATATAGAGCTTGAACTACTATTGTATTATAATTATTGGTAGCACTAGGCACTAAAAACTGTAGGAACATCTAGTTTCTTAACATAAAAACCTCATGCTAATAGCTTGAAAATTACTATAAAACAATCTAAATTGTTTAGATATAGAAACTGTTTTTATTACTCTTCATCTTAGAGTATGATTCTGTTTTCTAATCCTTCGATCATGAATCTAGACAAATCTCCAATTCCATTTCTGAAAATATTGTGGCATCAAACACAATTATATGTTTTATTTCATTTTTGGTGTTAGCCACAAAAGCTGTTTTGATGTAACAACAACAACAAAAAAAAAAAAACAGTTTACTTTTGAGCTTAAAAATTTCTCCAAATACCTAGCTTTCTTCAGAAAAAAACCTAGGAAAGCTTAAATTCCAACAATTAGAATTGCATGGAGAATGTGAAATTAGATTTTAAAAACATTACATTTCCATTCTAGATTGAAGTACAGTTCTAAAGTATTTCTAGGAGAATGATTTCTTAGAAAAGTGTTATAGAAGTACCGTGATCTGCAGATAGGTTGGTCAAAGAAGATCACATAGTCTAATGCCTACCACATGGAGATACTGTCTTTGAATAATGTTATTGGAAGGAGTTCAAAAGAACAAAAGGTTACATTTTGAAAGATTCATTATGAAGGAGCGGCTACAGAATTAAGACTGTGAAGCAAACTATTTTTTTAAGACTGCACACTATGTATCATTATAGCAGGAAAATATGCTTTGTTGATACAGCAGAGTACACTTAGTTCAAAGAATAACACCCACATTTTAAAAAAAATACAGACAAAATTCATTTTGAAAACACTAACTTAGCCCGTTGCAAAGAGAGCAAAAGTAAAAGTAGTAAAAGAGCAAAATATTAATAGAGGATATTAACAGTGATTTTTTTTAAAAATCAGGAAATACACATCTACATTTTTTGCTAATTACAAAGCATGCTGAACATTATCTTCAACTAATTCATTTAAGTGATTTAGCTCAGAAAATGTACCAAGACAATTAGATGTCAGTTCATATATAGCCTTATAGAAATATTTTCACAGAAATTAATACTTAAATCTAAGTCTTCTGCAGATGGATAATTAAACATAAAAACTGTTAAACACAGTTCAACACTTATTACCCATTATTACAACTGGGTAAGAAATAAATTATCTTTCTAACTAGCAATGAAGTAATAGAGGCAACAAGCTCATACCTAGAGAAAAATGTAAGTTAGAACCTTCAATAGTATTTTATTACTATCATAATTCCCACCTACAATATAGTAGTTTTATAGGTAATCCTTGACTTACAACAGTTCGTTTGGTGACTGAAGTTACAACAGCACTAAAAAAGATGTGTCTTATGACTGTTTTTCACAATTATGACCGCTGCAGCATTCTCATGATCATGTGATCAAAATCCTGACACCTGGCAACTGGTTCATATTTATAACAGTTGCGGTGTCCTGGAGACATGCGATCACCGTTTGCAACCTTCCGACAAGCAGTCAATGGAGAAGCCAGATTCACTCAACAACCATCTTACCAACTTAACAACAGCAGTGATTCACTTAACAGCTGTGGCAGGAAAGGTCGTAAAATGGCGCAAAACTCACTTAGCAACAGAAATTTTAGGCTCAATTTTCATAAGTCAAGGACTACCTATATTAGAAATAGCTTTCTTTATTATAAATATTTAATTTTCATCAATGCTTTGCTACTTCCCTAATGTGATGAATGCGGTAACAAAATGTGGATTGACATTCCTTTTTTCAGAAAGTTTAATTTTACAAAGACAATGACATCTAAAAGATTAATCTTCCAATGTTAATATTATTTTGAACTATCTTAGGATTATTTAATTATTTTAAGCAATAAAACTATTAGTATTTTGTTCACTGTCACTATATTTAACACAGACTATTTTGTTTCAGTGTTTAAGTTTTCCTGTATTGTGTTACATTTGTTTGTACTTTACAATCCACTAAATATTAAAAGGGCGAGACATTACACAGAAAGAACAAGTTCTGGAGTTCTTTTTTTTCAAAGCACAAAGAAATATAATTTTATTTTTTCTATGTTACTGAATTGAATATGGGTTAGCATAATAACAAGAATATTATGACACTATAATTTAAAAATATTATTACAAAAGACTCCTTATTTTTACCCAAACATTAGATAAAAAGATTAAAAACATTGTGGAGTCCTTGCTGTTGTCGGAGTTTGGTGGTTTTCCAGAAGACGTTTCATTATCCAACCAGGTAACATCATCAATGCATCATGAAGTGTCTACACGAAAACCACCAAGTTCAGAGAACTGCAAGGGCACTACAGTTCAGCTCTAAAGTACAAATATTCTTTTCTATCAGTATTAAATACATTGTTTTTCACAATTTAAAAACCCCCACTATATTTTATAATACAAAAATTGAAGTAACTCTTCAATAACAATTTGGGAATACAATTTGGCAATCCAAGTTCAAATGTGTAATGTCTTACATTGAGCTGATGCAGACTTTCAATTACCTTTCTTGCACTGAAGCAAAAAGTCAGCAAATAAAAGAAGTGGGGAGACAGC